AAATCAATCATGGAATTTTTGGAAAAAATCTTAGTCGATATAATATGACATAGATATCAGTCTCGGTATTTTTCAGTGGAAGCAAGGAATTAAAGTCCAAATGATCTATGACAAAGATTATGTCACATTTCAGTTTCCGGTAAAATTCCATTCAATTAAAAAATATCATAATGGATTGGAAAATTCCACACACCACAATATTCAATAAACGTGTAAGGAAAGGTATATATAAGTCTTGGAAAAATATTCCTTAATAAATTCACGCCTCATATAGGCCTTGAAAAAATGTTCTTTAACGATTGAGACAAAATTTTGCACAGAGTACTGAATAAATCTAGACTAATGTGTGCGAAGTTTTGTTGAAATCGGTTCAGATTTAGATTAAGCTCCATCCGTCCGTTTCGTCCGATTTTATGTGAGAGATGCACCAAACTTTCAATATTTGTCCGATTGAGAAAACAATTTTGTCCAGAGTACTGAATTAGGTCTAGACTGATGACTGCGAAGTTTTGTGGAAATCGGTTCAGATTTAGATATTGCTTTCATATATTTTTTTATCCCATTTTATCTAAATACTGCCCAAACTCCTAATATTTGTATAAATCCAGACCAAATTTCGCTCAGAGTACTGAATTAGGTCTAGACTAATGTTGTTGGAATCGGTTCAGAATTAGTGATAGCTCCCATATATAGTTGCATCCGATATTATGTGAGTGATGCACCAAACGCCTAATATTAGTCCGATTGAGACAAAATTTTGCACAGCGTACTGAATTAAGTCTAGGTTCAGATTTGGTTATAGCTCCCATATATATTTTCGTCCGATTTTATGTGAATGATGCACCAAACTCCCAATATTTGTCCGATTGAGACAAATTTTTGCACTGAATTAGGTTGAAGTCAGTTCAGATTTAAATATAACTCCCATATATAGTTTCGTCCAATTTTATGTGATTGATTCATCTAAATCCCGGTTTAAATATAACTCCCATATATAGTTTCGTCCAATTTTATGTGATTGATTCATCTAAATCCCGGTATTAGTCCGATTGAGACAGGCTTTTGGTATAGCTCCCAAATATATGAATTCAAAATTGTCATTACTTCGATGAGCCAAATTTTCCAAGGAATAAAATTGTATGTATGTATATACCCTGTTCTCCCCCCATATTTAAATACATTGTATGGATTGGGTGTATGTTTGTACATCTACATCGATATATTTAAATATATTTAGATAAAATATATGCTAATTGAATTTGTCTATTCTTTAATAAATTCACGCCTCAGTTGGCCCTTGAAAAAAATTCTTTAATAAATCCACGCCTCAGTTGGCCCTTGAAAAATATTCTTTAATAAATCCACGCCTCAGTTGGCCCTTGAAAAATATTCTTTAATAAATCCACGCCTCAGTTGGCCCTTGAAAAATATTCTTTAATAAATCCACGCCTCAGTTGGCCCTTGAAAAATATTCTTTAATAAATCCACGCCTCAGTTGGCCCTTGAAAAATATTCTTTAATAAATCCACGCCTCAGTTGGCCCTTGAAAAATATTCTTTAATAAATCCACGCCTCAGTTGGCCCTTGAAAAATATTCTTTAATAAATCCACGCCTCAGTTGGCCCTTGAAAAATATTCTTTAATAAATCCACGCCTCAGTTGGCCCTTGAAAAATATTCTTTAATAAATCCACGCCTCAGTTGGCCCTTGAAAAATATTCTTTAATAAATCCACGCCTCAGTTGGCCCTTGAAAAATATTCTTTAATAAATCCACGCCTCAGTTGGCCCTTGAAAAATATTCTTTAATAAATCCACGCCTCAGTTGGCCCTTGAAAAATATTCTTTAATAAATCCACGCCTCAGTTGGCCCTTGAAAAATATTCTTTAATAAATCCACGCCTCAGTTGGCCCTTGAAAAATATTCTTTAATAAATCCACGCCTCAGTTGGCCCTTGAAAAATATTCTTTAATAAATCCACGCCTCAGTTGGCCCTTGAAAAATATTCTTTAATAAATCCACGCCTCAGTTGGCCCTTGAAAAATATTCTTTAATAAATCCACGCCTCAGTTGGCCCTTGAAAAATATTCTTTAATAAATCCACGCCTCAGTTGGCCCTTGAAAAATATTCTTTAATAAATCCACGCCTCAGTTGGCCCTTGAAAAATATTCTTTAATAAATCCACGCCTCAGTTGGCCCTTGAAAAATATTCTTTAATAAATCCACGCCTCAGTTGGCCCTTGAAAAATATTCTTTAATAAATCCACGCCTCAGTTGGCCCTTGAAAAATATTCTTTAATAAATCCACGCCTCAGTTGGCCCTTGAAAAATATTCTTTAATAAATCCACGCCTCAGTTGGCCCTTGAAAAATATTCTTTAATAAATCCACGCCTCAGTTGGCCCTTGAAAAATATTCTTTAATAAATCCACGCCTCAGTTGGCCCTTGAAAAATATTCTTTAATAAATCCACGCCTCAGTTGGCCCTTGAAAAATATTCTTTAATAAATCCACGCCTCAGTTGGCCCTTGAAAAATATTCTTTAATAAATCCACGCCTCAGTTGGCCCTTGAAAAATATTCTTTAATAAATCCACGCCTCAGTTGGCCCTTGAAAAATATTCTTTAATAAATCCACGCCTCAGTTGGCCCTTGAAAAATATTCTTTAATAAATCCACGCCTCAGTTGGCCCTTGAAAAATATTCTTTAATAAATCCACGCCTCAGTTGGCCCTTGAAAAATATTCTTTAATAAATCCACGCCTCAGTTGGCCCTTGAAAAATATTCTTTAATAAATCCACGCCTCAGTTGGCCCTTGAAAAATATTCTTTAATAAATCCACGCCTCAGTTGGCCCTTGAAAAATATTCTTTAATAAATCCACGCCTCAGTTGGCCCTTGAAAAATATTCTTTAATAAATCCACGCCTCAGTTGGCCCTTGAAAAATATTCTTTAATAAATCCACGCCTCAGTTGGCCCTTGAAAAATATTCTTTAATAAATCCACGCCTCAGTTGGCCCTTGAAAAATATTCTTTAATAAATCCACGCCTCAGTTGGCCCTTGAAAAATATTCTTTAATAAATCCACGCCTCAGTTGGCCCTTGAAAAATATTCTTTAATAAATCCACGCCTCAGTTGGCCCTTGAAAAATATTCTTTAATAAATCCACGCCTCAGTTGGCCCTTGAAAAATATTCTTTAATAAATCCACGCCTCAGTTGGCCCTTGAAAAATATTCTTTAATAAATCCACGCCTCAGTTGGCCCTTGAAAAATATTCTTTAATAAATCCACGCCTCAGTTGGCCCTTGAAAAATATTCTTTAATAAATTCACGCCTCAGTTGGCCCTTGAAAAATATTCTTTAATAAATTCAAGGGCTTGAAAAAATATTCCTATTTATATATGACTTCGTAAGTTCGCTTGTTGGAGGTAGGTTGGTACTGACGAGACGATGTCAGGTATCTTAACACCTCAATGACAACAATTTCGTTTTTGTTCTTGTTGTTGTACTTTTTTTGATAAATGTAGATAATGACAACTTGATTGATGTCGTAGTTGTCCAGAAAAAAAAAACGCTAACAAGAAATCTGATTAGATCTGCTTTATGATCGGTAATTAACAGACAATTTTATTGTTGTTATACATTAGCACCTGCATTTTGGTCTGTAAAAAATATGTCGCATATTAGAATAGGAAATAGATATTTTATGGTGAAAAGTCTTATGGCCAAATTCTACACTTGACGAGGGACAGCATTCAAAATTCGATAGAAATTCGGGTATATAAAGAAAGAAGGTCTTAAGGGGAGTACTTCGATTGACTATACTAAGCTCGGCAGGATTCCAATATTAGGCATTTCATATAAACTTTGAATAAAGTCTTTTTTAAAAAATCCACGCCTTGGATAGGCCTTGAAAAAAAGTCTTCTTAAAAAAATCCACGCCTTGGATAGGCCTTGAAAAAAGTCTTCTTAAAAAATCCACGCCTTGGATAGGCCTTGAAAAAAGTCTTCTTAAAAAAATCCACGCCTTGGATAGGCATTGAAAAAAGTCTTCTTAAAAAAATCCACGCCTTGGATAGGCCTTGAAAAAAGTCTTCTTAAAAAAATCCACGCCTTGGATAGGCCTTGAAAAAAGTCTACTTTAAAAAATCCACGCCTTGGATAGGCCTTGAAAAAAGTCTTCTTTAAAAAATCCACGCCTTGGATAGGCCTTGAAAAAAGTCTTCTTTAAAAAATCCACGCCTTAAATAGGCCTTGAAAAAAGTCTTCTTTAAAAAATCCACGCCTTGGATAGGCCTTGAAAAAAGTCTTCTTTAAAAAATCCACGCCTTGGATAGGCCTTGAAAAAAGTCTTCTTTAAAAAATCCACGCCTTGGATAGGCCTTGACAAAAGTCTTCTTTAAAAAATCCACGCCTTGGATAGGCCTTGAAAAAAGTCTTCTTTAAAAAATCAACATCTCTGATTTCATTTCCACACACAGGTGGTGCTGTTTTGTAATCAATAAAAATTTGTTTCGACATCATTTGACTGAAGATATAGAACAAGTAGTTGCGATTATATGGGAGCTACCTTCTCAGAACTTTTCTTTTGATTTGATTGTATTTTATATGGGAACGGGGGAGGGGGCAATTAATCAAGTATGGACACTTTAAATTGATCCATTATAATCGACGACATTATAAACAAGAAAATATATTAACCTCATTCATTAATGGAAAGTGAACTAAGAATTGGTCACAGTGATTGATGAGCGTGTGCAGAAGTGGCACCATAGAAACACCTAGAGACTGGGGTCAGTAACGTACGTCAGTCAACAGTGCGACAAACCCCATTCAAAATGTTATGTTATGTCGTCATAGGATGGTATTTCTTAATCGGCAAATTATCGCTACCTCCACTCACACCGAAGTCATGCATTTCGATTAGATCCCCATCATGTTCGTTTTATTTCGTTAATTTCATTTAATTATCTTTTTCGCTAATAAAAAAAATATTGTCATACTAATAGCTTTGATTTTTTATTTCTACTTTCAGATTTAATCCTTAACTCGACGCCATGAAGTTTGCCGAACATTTGACGGCTCACATAACGCCGGAATGGCGTAAACAATATATTAACTATGAGGTATGATCAGCAGACATGATATCTTAATCTTAATATATTTATTTATTTGTTTTTGCAGGAAATGAAAGCCATGTTATACATGGCCGTTGAAGAGGCGCCATCCGTCGATAGCGTTGAAGATGAAGTACTTAAACGACACTTTGCCAATTTCGATGAGAATTTCTTCCACTATTGTGATAAAGAGCTAAAGAAAATCAACACTTTCTATTCGGAAAAATTGGCCGAGGCCACACGTAAATTTGCCACACTCAAAGCTGAATTGAAAACCTGTATCGAAGAGTCTGAACGTTCGGCCAAGAAGTCGAAATCATTAAAAAAGACTGCTGGTTTACCGCATCGTAAAGCCCAAGAGCTGAAGCTAGCCTTTAGTGAATATTATTTGAGTTTAATTTTGTTACAAAATTATCAAAATTTAAATCACACCGGGTTCCGTAAAATCCTAAAGAAACATGATAAACTATTGCGTGTGGATAGTGGTGCCAAGTGGCGTCAGGATCATGTTGAAGCATCACATTTCTTTACGAACAAAGATATTGATAATATTATCAATGAAACGGAATCGATGGTTACCAATGAATTGGAGGGTGGTGATCGTCAAAAGGCAATGAAACGTTTACGTGTACCACCACTCGGCGAACAACAGAGTCCATGGACCACGTTTAAAGTGGGTCTGTTTTCGGGTTCGTTTATTGTTTTGGGTATTGTGGTGGTATTGTCGGGTAAGTTTTACTTTATTTCGCTTTACTTTTTACAAAAACAAAAATGAAATTTGGGCAAAGAAATTTTAAAGAAATTGAAGTCAAATTCCAAAATTCAGCAGTGATTAGATTTACTTTTGTAAAAATTAAAAATACAAATATCGCCACAAAGTGCTATTCCAAGGGAAATTTCAGTGTTTTAGGTTTAGGCTAAAATCTTCCATTAAAAACCGTTTTAGATAGTTGATGTCAATGATAGATATTTTGTATATTGAATTTTAATATAGGTCACTGAACAATATAAATCGGAATATGTAGTCTATATCCATAAAAAGTACAGTAGCAAATTTGGTAATATGAAATAATGGACAATAATTTGAAGCATTTTCAAATTGGCCTCAAATCTCCAGCTAAACTTAATTTATGGTGGTTAATGTTAATGAAAGTTGTTTTCTAAATCGAATTTTAATATGGGTCCCTGAACAACGGACATCGGAATATAGTATATATATACAAAAAAATATATCAACAAATTTGGTTAGTTAAAAAAAGTTATTATTGTTCTTTTTGAATTTAATGGTTTTTTTCAAATTGGTCGCAATTCTGCAACTAAACTTCACATTTGATGGATGTTGTCAATGAAAGATATCTTGAAAATCGAATTTTACAATAGGTCTCTGAACAAAATAAACCGTTATTTATAGCCTATAACTATAAAAAGTGCCGTAACTAATGTGATTAGATAAGAAATAATAACGATTTTGATACATTTTCAAATTGAGCCGAATTTCCGACTTAAACCTAATTTTTGGTGGGTGATGCCAATGAAAGACATCTTCTAAATCAAATTTCACTAAAGGTCACTGAACAGGATGAATCGCTATACATAGTATATAACAATAAAAAATAGCATAACAAATTTAATTAAGTAACCATTTACAAATGTTTATTTTTAATTTCATACATTTTCAAATTGGTTCCAAATCTTCAATTAAACTTCTTTTTTTGAGGATAATGTTAATGAAAGATATATTCGAATTAAGAAATCGGTATATGTTTAAAAGCACCGCAACAAATTTGGTTATGTGAAATAACGTAACGAAATATTAAAAAAATGTTTGACGATAATAATGTTTGTGGCCAAATCTCCGTTAAATTTGCAATTTAGCATGATGATGTCAATGGAAAAAATATTTTATATCAGATTTCACGATGGGTCTCTGAATAACAGAAGTCGCTATATATAATAATATATACATTAAAAAAATATCGAAATAAAATTGTATTAAGATAAAATTCTCTGTTATATTTAAATAAATTTAGTATTTTAGATTTTGTCCAAAATCTCTATTAAATCTCCAATTTCGGAGTTTGGTGTTAATAGAAAATGTATTCTATATGAAATTTCACTATATCGGAATATATTGTAGAAACCATATTAAAATATTGAAACACCTTTATATAAATATAAATTTATTTTTTATATTGGACCAAATAGAGTAATTTCGATTTTGACCCAAAATATAGACCAAAACATAACTTTTTGAGAATGATGCCAATGGAAAAAATATTCTGCATCGAATTTCACTATAGGTCTCCAAGCAAATAATACCGGTATATTTAATATACACATTTTTAAAATACCCTTAAAATTTGTATTAAAAAGGATTTTGGCAAAAATCTCCATTAAATCTTCAATTACGGATTTTGGTGTCAATGGAAAATTTATTCTATTTAAAATTTCACTATGGGTCCACAAACAAAAGAAGTCGGAATATATTGTAGAAACCATATTAAAATATTGAAACAACTTTGTATAAATATAAATTTATTTTTTTATATTGGATGAAATATAGTAATTTCGAATTTCTGCAAAATCTTGCCCAAACCATCAATTTCAGACGATGATACCAATGGAAAAAATATTCTACATCGAATTTCACTATGGGTCGCTAAACAAAATAAGTCGGTATATATAATATATAGCTTAGTATGATAACCTTAAAAAATCATTTCAAAAGCAAATTCATCATTATATTTGATCAAATATAGAGTTTCCGATTTTGGTTAAAATCTTTCATAAATCTTCAATTTAGGAAATTATGTCAATGGAAAATGTATTCTACATCGAATTTCAGTGAAGGTTTCCGAACAAAATAATTCTGTATATGCGATATAAAATAAGAATACAGCAGTATTAAATTGTATTCTTTGAAAAAAAAACATTTAATTGTTTGAGACTTCTTAAAAATATGGTCAACTGCTACCACATTTTCAAAATCCCCGATTTAAAAAATTGAAATATTTAATTTTGACTTGATTTCCACTTTTGTTGAAATGTCGTGGTCATGATTCATGCAGAGAAATTTTGCGGCAGGAAATAAATGCCTTACTTTGGTAAAGCATTTTAAATATCCCTCATAAATCTCCATTAAATCGTCAAATATATCACAACAAATTATAAAAAATTATATTCTCTTTTTATTTTAAATAATAATGACAGTTTTAAAAATCTCTTTTAAGATAAACAATTTACGTGATTTTTTTCCATGAAAAGCTTTTAAGTGGGTGGCCCATAAATCATTTGTCAATTGTTATTGTAGGGCGGAGTTTCACTCTGTATCTCCTTTATTGTCAATCTTATCTAAGCAAAACTGACCAAGACAATGCATGGATTTTGATGGACTTAATGATAAAAAAAACTGATTTCCTTAGTTGTATTTTTATCTGCGTGGAAAGTTAACAATATTTTGTTCTCAAAATTGATTTTTTGGTTGTAATTTAATTTTCATAATTTTTTGTTTTTTTCTTTTTCCAGCAATTTTCCACGACATAACCGGTGAAAATCTTAAGGTCACCTTCCGTTTGTATCGTGGCCCCTTACTTATTATCGAATTCATCTTCCTCATTGGTGTTAACATCTATGGCTGGCGTTCTTCGGGTGTTAATCATGTGCTTATATTCGAATTAGATCCTCGAAATCATTTGTCCGAACAACATTTAATGGAATTGGCGGCAATATTCGGTGTCATCTGGACCCTAAGTATGTTAAGTTATTTATATTCGGCCAGTTTAAGTATACCGGCATTTATAAATCCCCTAACGTTGACCATTATAATGGTGGCATTTTTAATAAATCCCTTTCATGTGTTTCATCATGATGCCAGATTTTGGTTGCTTAGGATATCGGTGAGTTCAATATCTACTCAAATAATTTATTTTTAATAATTTAAAGTGTATTTTTATTCTTAAATATTATAGGGACGCATGTTTGCTGCCCCATTCTTCCACGTTGGCTTTGCCGATTTCTGGCTGGGTGATCAATTGAATTCACTGACCACAGCCTTATTGGATTTTGAATATTTGGTTTGTTTCTATTTTACAAATGGTAACTGGTTTGAGGCCCGAGATGCCTCCATTTGCATGGAAAAAGATTATATTATTAGGCCGATATTTAATTGTATACCAGCATGGGTGCGTTTTGCTCAGTGTCTGAGACGTTATCGTGACACTCGAGAAGCATTTCCACATTTGGTAAATGCCGGCAAATATTCAACAACATTTTTGGTCGTCATCTTTGCCACCCTCAAGAGTTTCAATAGTCGTAAGTTGAATCAACATTTCCTATGATTTTTTGGAGATTTATAACATTGGTTGACTTCATTTCAGGTTACTACTCCAGTACTTTTGAAAATCCTTACACCTGGTTGTGGATAGCTGCCTCAGTGGTTTCATCACTCTATGCCTACACATGGGACATAAAAATGGATTGGGGCTTATTCGATAAGAATGCTGGGGAAAATACTTTCCTGCGCGAAGAAATTGTCTATTCATCGACGGTAAGTATTTTTCGACAAAAAGTTCAAATAATTGCATTTGTTTAAAAAATGGAGTATTTTCAATTTTGACCAAAATATTGCACAAATTTCAAATTTAGGGGGATGGTATCATTTGAAAAAATATTCTTAACAAAATTTCACTAGGAGTCACTGAACAAAAGAAGTCGATATTTATAATATATACTTCAATAAAATATCCGTTCAAAATTGTATTACTGTTTACTGTATTTGGTAAAATGTAGTGATTTCCATTTTGGCCAGAATCTTTATTAAATCTTGAATTTAGGAGCATGATGTCAATGGAAAAAATATTCTTAATCAAATTTCACTAGGAGTCACTGAACAAAAGAAGTCGATATATATAATAAAACAGTTAAAAAAATTGCAGTACAAATTTGTATTTAGAGGAAATTATATTATTCATTATATGTAGTAAATTGTAGTGTTTCGATGCGGGTCAATATCTTTGACAGATCTTTGATTTTGAAGGATGTTGTCAATGGAAAAAATATTCTATATTAAATTTCACTATAATTCCCCAAACAAAAAAAATCGGTATATATAATACTTATGTTGATAAAACACCCGAACAAAGAAGACAATTCTCCAGTATATTTGGCAAAATATAGTATTTTCGAATTTGACACATATTTCCGATTAATCAGTGATTCAGCAGGATAGTGTCAATGGAAAATATATTCTAGATCAAATTTCACCATGGCTCACTGAAAAGTATAAATCGATATTTGTAATATATACATAGATAAAATATCGGTAAAAAATTTTACCAAGTGGAAATTTTCCACTATATTTGGTAAAATGTACTGATTTCGATTTTGGCCAATATTTCCGATAAATTCTTAATTTAGGAGGATGGTGTCAATGGAAAAAAATTTCTATATCGTATATCACTATGGATCACCGAAGAATGTAATTCTATTTTTGTTATAAATACATTAGTAAAATAGAGGAACAGATTTGTATTTAGAGGAAATTCTTCATAATATATGGTAAAATGTAGTGTTTTCGATTTGAATAGATATCTCCGATAAATCTTCTATTTAGAAGAATGATGTTAATGAAAAATATTTTCTAGATAAAATTTCACTATGGGTCACCGAATAAAAGAAGTCGGTATATAATATTTACTTTAATAAAATATACGATCAAATTTGTAGTAATAGGAAATTCTTTATTATTTTTGGTGTTATTAGAGTTTTTTTTTTATTTTGGCCAAAATTTTCTCAGATATTCAAATTATGAAAATTATTTCAATGGAAAAAATATTCGAAATCAAAAATATTCGAAATTTCACTATGGGTCACCGACCAACAGAAGTCGGTATATCTTATGTATACATTAGTAAATGACGTTAGAAATTTTGTATACAAATTGTTTGGTTAAGTGTTGTTTCGTATGGAAAATAGTAAAATATTTTTTTGAATATAGAAACCCTTTAAAATATATTTTCTTACAATTTTTAATTTATTTCACCTCTTTCCAGGGCTTCTACTACTTTGCCATTATTGAAGATTTAGCGTTACGTTTCAGCTGGGCCGTATCGTTCTATATAACTGAAATGAAGTACTTAAGCGGTGATATTATGACATCTATAACTGGTATACTTGAAGTATTTAGGTAAGTCGAATACACACAACATAATTTATCACAAATAAATAACAAAAAATTCTTTCGCCCCTTTAGACGTTTCGTTTGGAATTTCTTCCGTTTGGAGAACGAACATCTAAATAATTGCGGTAAATTCCGTGCTGTGCGCGATATTTCCATTGCACCCATCGATTCATCAGATCAAACCCTAATACTACGTATGATGGATGAACCGGATGGTGTTATAAATCGTTATACCAAAACAAATCGTCCCAAGCCGAAAAAGACAAAAGATCCCGAGAAGAGAAGTTTATTGCCACCACGTGGTTCTCTGCAGGATCTTACCATAGACATTGATGGTACTAAGAAATTATAGGAGAACGTAATATAATTTACAAAACCCCTGTAATGCAATGTCCACCAGAAAGCCAACAGGAAGGGCTTTCCGATTTACAGAAAAACAAGAAGAAAAAAACTTATATTTTAATTAGTTTAATTTAAGTAATAGAAAGTTTCATTTAAATTTAATATTCTTAATTATGTTTATTTAGAACAATTTTTTTCTGTGTGTTAAAATTATTTGTTCCCACCCCCACTCCCTTCATATATGTTTCTTGTTACATTACATTCCCCCACGCGTGTTTTCCTAGTGTATTTTTTTTTTCAAAAATTTAATTATTTTATACTCTATCCTAACCGTTTCCTATGTAGATAGATAGTGGGCCAAGAGTATAAAATAATCCGACACTGGTATATTTATTTGTTTGCTTTGTTTTTTTCCACTAACTTTAAGTACTTAAAGACAAACATACCTTCCACTCACAAAAAGACTTCCAACAAAATAAAAACTTAATTATATCCCACTCATTAAAACGCCATTAATTAAAAGCGGCAGTATTACTTATAATTGTTACTCTGACTATTCCTATAAAAACCCACAACCCCGCTTACTTGTTTCCAAAACTAAAAAAAAAAACAAAACATATTCTAAGCATACGAAATTACATTCCCATTGGATTATAAAAGTCAATTAAACATATCTTTATAAAAATATACTATATTTTGTTTTTGTTTGTTATTCCTTATATATTTTGTATGATTCGTTTTCATAAATTATTTATAATTTGTTTAAATCTAAAATTTGTATTTTTTTCCTCAAAATGTAGAGAAAGTGCTATACACAAAACGAATTCAAAATTATAACAATAATACTATTTAAAAAAAAATCATCAACAATAACAGCAACAAGAAAAACTAAGTTTTGCTACAAAAAAGAACTTGGCTCATTTTATTGATGAGCCCTAAACCATACATTTTTTTAATTTGTAGGTCACAAAATGTATAAGAGAAAATACAATAAAAAAATCGAAAAAATATACAAAAACTTAATTATAGTATAAGAATAATCATACACATATATACATATTTTTCTAATACTAATACATGTGTAATACGATAACTGATAATAATATTAATAAAAAACACGATATTTAAGTGATAAAATGTTTTAAAAGCAAAAAAGAAAATGAACTGTTTTATTGAATAATTTTCGAAAATATATTCTGTATCATATTTCATTATAGGTCACAGAACAATATAAGTAAATATATAATATATACTAATAAAATATTGGAACAAATTTGTATTAACAGAATATTCATCATGATATTTGGCCCAATATAGTGTTTTCGGTTTTGCCCAAAATCTTCATAAAATCTTAAATTTAGGAGGATGGCTTGAAAGAAAAATTTCTTCTAAATTGAATTTCACTATGGGTCCCCGAACAATAAAATTCGATATGTGTATTACGAACATTAATAAAATAATGGAAAACATGTGTATTACGAAGAAAATTTTCACTATATGCTGTCAAATATAGTGTTTTTGATTTTGGACAATATCTTCGATAAATTTGTTTTTTAGGAGGATGATGGTAATGGATAAAATATTCTATATCGAATTTCACTGTGTGTTACCGAACAATAGAAGTCGGTATATATAATAAATACATAAATAAAATAGTGGAACAAATTTGTATTTATAGGAATTTTTTATTATATTTGATTAAATGTAGTGTTATAGATTTTGGCCAAAATCATTATAAACTATTCAATTTAGGAGAATGGCTTCAAAGAAAAATGTCTTCTAAATCTAATTTCTCTATGGGTCCCCGAACAATAAAAATCAATATGTGTATTACGAACATTAATAAAAAAGCGGCAAACATATGTATTATGAGGAAATTCTTCATTATATTTTGTCAAATGTAGTGTTTTTCGATTTTGGTCAATATCTCCAATAAATCTTTGATTTAGAAAGATGATGTTAATGGAAAAAAATTCTTTATCGAATTTCACTAGAGGTCTCCGAAAAATAGAAGTCGATAAATATAATACATACCTTAATAAAATATCGGAAGATATTTGTATTAGGAGAAAATTCTTCTTGATATTTGGACCAATGTAGGTAGTGGTTTCGATTTCAGCCAAAATCTGTACTAAATCTTTAATTTAGCTGGAATGCTTGAAAGAAAAATAACTTCTAAATCAAATTTGACTATGGGTCCCCGAAAAATAGAAGTCGGTATATATAACACATACATTTATAAAATAGCTGAACAAATTAGTATGCAGAAAAATGTTTTTATTTTACTTAGTCAAATGTACTGTTTTCAACTTTGGCCAATATCTCCGATATATATTTTATTTAGGAGGATGACATCAATGGAAAAGGTGTTCTAGATCGAATTTCACAATGGGTCACTGAACACTAGAAGTTGACAATATTTTTTTATTATATTTGGTCAACTCTAGTGTTGCCGATTTAGGTCAAAGTCTTTGTCAAATCTTCAATTTAGGAGGCTGATGTCAACGGAAAAATTATTCTTGTTCAAATTTCACTATGGATCACTGAACAATATAAGTGTCTATAATAACAATTATTCTTATTTCTGTTTAATATGGTAATCCTGGAAAAAATTGACAATTTGTCTAATTAATTGCGGAACCTGCAATGAAGTTTTCCGAGAAATTGGGTGCCCATTTGACACCGGAATGGCGCCAGCAATATATTTCCTATGTGGTAAGTTATGGATGAAGCTCTAAATACTTTCAATTTTTTTTAATTTAAATCTCTATTTGCAGGATCTCAAAAATATGATTCTAAATGTCATAGAAAATGCTCCCATCTCCCAAATAGTATCCAGCCGTGTCATTGAAGTCTACAATCGCAATTTCGAAGAGGAATTCTTTTTTGAATGTGAAAAGGAATTGCGAAAAATCAACACTTTCTATGCCGAGAAGTTGGCTGAAGCCACCCGAAGAAGTGAAGCTTTGGCCACGTCTTTGGATATTATTGGAGCTGAATTCCGCCTGAAGAAACGTACCCAGTCTCGTTATAGTTTACATGCTAATGCAATGTCGAAAACCTCAAAGAAATGGAAGAAAGCGAAAATGGATGAATTGCGAAATGCCTATAGCGAACTGTACTTAAGTTTGGTTCTTTTACAGAACTATAAGGTTTTGAATCATACCGGATTTCGTAAGATCCTGAAAAAACATGATAAGCTATTGAATAATGATCAGGGTGGCCGGTGGTTTGCTAAAAATGTTGATACGGCATATTTTTATAAAAATAAGGATTTGGATCGCCTTATCGAGGAGGCGGAATATAATGTCACAGAGTATTTGGAAAATGGTGATAGGGCACAGGCCATGAAACGTTTGAGGGTACCTCCGCTCGAAGAGACACAAGATATTGGTACGGTGTTTCGAGTGGGATTTTTCATGGGTGCCTTTACGGTGTTGCTGGCAGCGGTGTTTTTGACAGGTTAGTGGAAAATACTCTCACTAAATTATTTGTTTTTAAATACATTTTTTTATTGCCTTTGCAGATTCTGTTCAGTCTTTAAGCCCTATGGATAAACAATATGGCCTGTTATTATTTCGTGGTCCATTCTATGTGATCATGTATTTGTTTCTCTTGGGTGTAAATGTTTTGGCCTGGCGTCAATATGGTGTCAATCATATTTTGATTTTTGAAATCAATCCCCGAAAGCGTTTGACTTCGTCACACTTGTTGGAGTTGCACGGGGTGTTTGGTGTATTATGGTCTCTCTGTGTTTTGGGTTTCGTTTATGGACAGGAGTTATATTTACCGCGTTATGGATTTCCTTTGATTTTCCTGGTTGTTATGATGGGATTTTTATTTATACCCTTGCCCGTATTTCATTTGAGCGGACGTTTGTGGTTAATGAAGTTGATGGTGAGAAATTAGAGTTTGTTAAATGTTGTGTGTTCGATATTGGCCAATATCCTTGATAAATATTCGATTTAGGAGGATGTTGTCAATGGAAAAAATATTCTAAATCAAATTTCACTAAAGGTCTGTGAACAATAGAAGACGGTATATATAATACATATATTAAAAAAATATCCGAACAAAATAATATTAAGAATACAGTTCTTCGGAAAATTATATAAATGAAGTGTTTTCGATTTTGACCAATATCACCAGTAATTGTTTAATTTAGGAGCATGGTGTCGATGGAAAAAATATTCTAGACCAAATTTCACTATGGGTCGCCGAACAATAAAAGTCGGTATATATAATAGGTACTTTAATAAAATATCCGAACAAATAAGTATTAAGAAGACAGTCCTTCAGAATATCTGATAAAATGTAGTGTTTGCGATTTTGGCCCATATCTCCGGTTAATCATTGATTTAGCAGTATAGTGTCAATGGAAAATATATTCCAGATCAAATTTCACTATGGGTCACCGAACAATACAAATCGGTAATAGATATATTAATAGAATATCCGAACAAATTTGTATTAAGATGACGTTGTTCATTATATTTGGTAAATTTTAGTGTTTTCGATTTTTGCCAATATCTCCGATTAATCTTTAATTTAAGATGATTGTATCAGCGGGAAAAATCTTTTACATCAAATTTCACTATGGGTCACAGAACAAGAGATGTGGGTATATATAATAGATACTTTAATAAAACATCCGAACAAAGTAGTATTAAAAAGACAATTCTTCAGTATATATTGGGCAAAATATAGTGTTTTAGAATTTGGCTCATATCTCCGATTAATCCGTGATTTAGCAGGATAGTGTCAATGGAAAATATATTCTAGATCAAATTTTACCATGGGTCTCTGAACAACATAAATCGATATTTATAATAAATACATTGATAAAAGGGCGGTAAAAATGTTCACTAATTGGAAATTCTTCACTATATTTGGTAAAATGTAGTGCTTTCGATTTTGGCCAATATTTCCGATAATTATTCAATTTAGGAGGATGGTGTCAATGGAAAAAATTGTCTATATCGTATTTCACTATAGGTTACCGAACAATGCAATTACAATTTTTTAATAAATACCTTAATAATATAGCGGTAGAATTAGTATTTAGAGGAAATTATTTATTATATTTGGTAAAATGTAGTGTTTTCGATTTGGGTCAATATCTCCGATAAATTTTCGATTTAGAAGGATGGTGTCAATGGAAAATATATTCTAGATAACATTTCACTATGGGTCTCTGAACACTCGAAGTCGTTATATATAACACATATATTAATATAATAGCAGAACAAATTTGTATTAAGAGGTAATTCTTAACAACACTTCGTCAGATGTAGTGTTTTCGATTTGGGTCAATATCTCCGACAAATCGATGATCTAGGGAAATGACGTCAATGACAAATTTATTCTACATCAAATTTCATTATGGGTCACTGAACACTCGAAGTCGGTATATATAATATATACAGTAATAAAACAACAAAACAAATTTGTATTAGTATTAATTTTTTCTAAATTTGTTTTCCTTAGGGTCGTGTTTGTGCCGCCCCCTTTTTCACCGTGGGGTTTGCCGATTTTTGGTTTGGTGATCAATTGAATTCGCTGGTTTGCTGTCTGTTGGATTTGAAATATATGGTCTGCTTCTATTCCCTACATTCGCAGTGGGGTAAGAATTTCGATCCAAGTAAATGCCTAGAACGGGATTATTTGGGAAATGCCATAATACGATGCCTACCATCATGGTTCCGGTTTGCTCAATCGGTACGAAGATATCGTGATACCGGTTTGGTGCATCCTTTTCTGGTTAATGCGGGGAAATATTTTACCACTTTCCCCACGGTAATTTTTGGAACGTTGATGGCAGTTTATAAAGGTGGGTGCAAGGAACCTTGAGTGGATTTTTTATTTTAATAATTTTGTATTTCTATTCCTTTCCAGCTGATTATCCTTACTTCTTCGATAATCCCTTTGTTTGGTGTTACATTTTGGCAGACATTGTCCAAAGTTTGTATTGCTATAGCTGGGATATTTTGCGAGATTTCAGTTTATTCGAAAACTTTTCGGGCAAGAATATTTTCCTCCGGGATCAGATTATATATCCGGCGAAATTTTATTATTTTGTCATTGTGCAGAATTTATTTTTGCGTTTCTTTTGGGTTATCTCCATGTTTATGACGGTGAATCGAGGAATTGAGGGTTATATTATGGACACTATTGCAGGGTGTTTGGAAATTTTTAGGTGAGTAAAATAATTCGGAAACAATTTTTTCGGTATAGAAAAAAATTTGGAAACAATTTTTTTTCGGTATAGAAAAAAATTCGGAAACAATTTTTTTCGGTATAGAAAAAAATTCGGAAACATTTTTTTTCGGTATAGAAAAAAATTCGGAAACAATTTTTTTCGGTATAGAAAAAAATTCGGAAACAATTTTTTTAGTAAAGAAAAAAATTTGGAAACATTTTTTTGTATAGGAAAAATTTGGAGCTATTTTTTTTCGGTATAGAAAAAAAATTCGGAAAACATTTTTTTCAATATAGAAAAAAATTCGGAAACAATTTTTTCTCCATGTTTATGATGGTGAATCGTGGAATTGAGGGCTATATTTTGGAAACTATTGCAGGGTGTTCGGAAATTTTTAGGTGAGAATAAAATTCGAAAACATTTGTTTCGTATAGAAAAAAATTCGGAAACTATTTTGCGTTTTAGAAAAAAAAAATCGGAACAATTTTTTTCGGTATAGAAAAAAATTCGGAAACAATTTTTTTCGGTATAGAAAAAAATTCGGAAACAATTTTTTCGGTATAGAAAAAAATTCGGAAAAAAATTTTTTCGGTATATAAAAAAAAAAAACAATTTTTTTTTAGAAAAAAATTATTTTTTAATTTATAAAGAAATCAGAAATTTGGTTTCAATTTTTGCAGACGCTATCTTTGGAACTACATACGCCTGGAAAATGAGCACCTCTTCAATGTCGGACAATTTCGAGCTGTTCGTGACATATTCATTGCACCCATAGAGGATGATAAAAGTTCAATAAACTTAGAACGAATGATGGACGAAGAAGATGGTGTGACGAATCGTAAAAGAAAAATTAAATTTCAGGATGATGATAAGGAAGATTAAATTCGATTTTAATAATATTTATTATTTTTTATAAAAGAAAACAAAAACATTAAAAATTTAAATATTTATGAAATATTATCCGCCACCCCTGATACCAAGGCTGTGCCTCGTAAAATCCAAAAATCTGCTGGCAGCGCACTTTCCAAAAGTATGGAAAGTATAAAATTCGTAGAATGTCCGGTTGTGGATAAAACTCCCGATCGAGCTTGGGTTTTATATAGAGGAGCTTCGTAACGTTGACCGCGATCCAGTTGTAGGCAGGGTATAAAACGTATTGTTGGCATTCGCGAATAGAGTTCACCAATATTGGCATCACATAAGCCGCCCTTTTGCCGATTCCATTGAGCTGCTTCCACAAATATGCCATGGACATTGACACCTGCCTCTGAGGATTCTGGCAGATCGCCATATAGGTCTTCCACCTGGAAAAGATGGATAATTAAAAAAGGGAATAATCTGAATAATTCGGAAACAATTTTTTTGGATAGAAAAAAATTCGCAGACAATTTTTTTTTCGCATAGAAATAATAAATCGGAAGGAAAATCCTACCTCCATTCCATTTGCCCTCCGCTCAAAGAAATCCTGTTGCACCAGCACCCTATCAAAGACCTTAAAATCAATTTTCAAAGCATCTATGGGTAGTATTCGCTTGCGAGCATGTGTCTGCAGTACCCCGGTGAGGAATGATTGTGGAAAATAGAAGCCACTTATCCAAAACGACTTTGGATTTCCAACATTGGCCCATGTTTGTATGAAATCGATGCGTCTCTGAAAATCGGCAATATAACTGGGTAGGGGTTTTATCGAAAGGAAACTTTTCTTTTCCCATAATTTGGGTACCGCATTGGCTAGCAGAGATTTAAAGACTTCTTCCAGCTCTTCGGACATTACAATCAGACCCTTAATGGCTTTGGAGAGATTCACCAAACTGTCATGGACTAAACGCAGGGAGATGTTATAACGATCGATTTCTTGAACCAATACAGTGGTGAGCGAAGGCAATTGCCCCTTCGAATCAATCTGTAAGAAAATTTTGAGGTTAGGTTTGAATTTTCAAATTAGGTTAGGTTTCAATATTTACCGTTAACAAAGACTCATGCATCGATTCCTTGTTAATTTTGGGTTTGAGGGTCTCTTGTATCTTCTTTATAATCTCCAAACATAAATCATTTTCCAGGGCCTGACCCTCCTCGGCTGCTGAACGTGGCTGGCCCTCCAATAGGGTATTGATAAAGAAATTTGTCTCTTTGGTTTGAAACACCAAATTGGCATTTTCATTCATGCCGAATATTTCCGGATCTTCTAGGGTTGGGAAATTCGCCACATAGTCCTTATATTCCTGTATGGTCGCCTTTCTTGGATCACGATAGTAAGGATCGCCACGACAATATTTATAGTCTTCTTGTAGGATTTTTTCGAATGTAAATATTTTCAAAATTGTCCTCAGGCATCGTTGATCCCATGAATCGGTGACTCGGCCACCCCAGGTTATTTCCCCATTAATATAATAGATGGCTTCCCAGGGTATTTTCTCTTTCACTTCACGGCTAATAAAGAAATCGAGGGTCTTCAGGCCACATTCCCGATCACTTTCATTAAATTCATAGGTTATGTTCCAACCCAGGGGACCGAATTTGCGGCGCTCTAATAGCACGGCATGGAACACACACAAACCAAAAACAATTGCCCGCCATTTCCCACGGAGGATATGATGCTCAAAGAAATAAGGATTTATATCGGCCAAGGCACCCAAAACATTGGCCTTGATACCCTTGGGAGGTTCATTGGTAACTTTAACGGAATTTTGTAGAACACTAATAGGGAAGGATTTCTGCGGCATGGAGGATAAAAATAGCCGAAAATCAGGATGAGCCACAATTTCACCCAAAGTTATGTTGCGCACTATGGTCTCCATTTGACCCATCCATGAGGTAGCCAGGTGGCAATTTTGCAGGAATACCCAGTGACCCAGACGTAAACTCTTTTCGATTAAACTTTCGGCAATTGGACCTTGGCCCTGACCCAGTGATATGGAATAGAATTTGTCCATATATTTCATTTCTTCGGCAAATCTAAGGAAATTGGCCATGGGATCGGAACCACTGGAGAGCACAAAAACCAAGGGTGTGACATTGGAGGTGTCTTGGAAGCTGAAAGGGAAACAAATCAAAATGTTTTTCAAGGTCTGACAAATTTCGACTTACACCACTTTCAATTGACTACCCTCAGCGGAGACCTCAGTAAAATGGCGCCCAATAGTTACCCTTAAATACACCACAACATTCAGGAGGAATCTTTCCTTACGGAACACCCTAATGAACATTAGTTTTTGGAAATCGGTTAGGCGCAGATTCCAATGATTGCTCAGCGGAGCTTTGGATGCAGAGAAATTGAAGACCTGGGAAGAAAAGAAAAATATATAATCCTGAATAACAAACAAAATATTCAAAAACTTACCTCCCGATTATCATCGATTTGCAAAAAGAACGGCTCTGCCAGTTTCTCCGTAAAACCCTCAAAGGCCCTGAAATTCTGCTCCAAAAACAAACAGGCCTCCCATTCAAATGGACTTAATTTCAAATTCTCCGGTTTCGATTTCTCTCCTGCGGCTCCCACCACTCCACGTGTCAGAAAATTAAATTCCTGTTGACTGACCCGCCCCTCCTGCCTCTCAATGGACTGTGACAGAAGAAAACTATAAATGAGTTTATGATTTTCAAATAGACCTCTCGAAACATTGTCGTAAAGGGCCCGCAATTCATCCAATTTCAGCTGGGCAATACGATCTTCCGTATTCATTTTCGGATGCTCGAGACGTATGACAGAACAAAAAACTTGTGAGAAATATTTCAAGCTATATTGATACATGGGATCGATATCGGCCAAACTGGCTATTACAAAATAGAGAATGGCACCTCGAGACGCTAGGCTTCGATATTTTTCTCGAGTGGCGGTTATCACTTTTTCCGTTTCTTCGGTATCCACCAAGCGTGTCGCAATAATTAAAGAAGTTTCCTGAAAATGAAATAAGGTCGGAATGTTAATGAGGTCCCAACAAAGAAAGATCAGTCGGTCCTCTAGCTATAATTTTAATCTCAATCTATGTGATTTTCAAAATTAAAATATTTTGGTATTCTTAGGAATAACTGTTGGGCGCCACCCCTGACACCAAGGCTGTGCCTCGTAAAATCTGAAAGTATAAAATTCATAGAATGGCCGGTTGTCGATAGAATACCAGATCGAGCCTGAGTTTTATATAGAGGTGCTTCGCAACGTTGACCGCGATACAGTTGTAGGCAGGGTATAAAACGTATCGTTGGCATTCGCGAATAGAGTTTGACGATTCCATTGGGCTGCTTCTACAAATATGCCATGGACATTTACACCAGCCTCTGAGGATTCTGGCAGATCGCCATATAGACCTTTCAACTGGAATATCTGTTGGGCGCCATGAATGAAAATGCCAATTTGATATTTCAAAGTAAGGAGACAAATTTCTTTATCAATACCCTATGAAAGGAAGGAATGCTTCCCCTAGCTATTATTCTAATCTCAACCTATCTGATTTCCGATATTAAAATATTGTGATATTCTTAAGAATAACTGTTGGGCGCCATTTTACTGACGTTTCGTCTAAGAAGAGAAATCTCAGGCCGATGAGACATGCATGTACAATTGCAGGGCAATACGGACCATGTTGCAAATTTCTCTACTGTACGAGTAGACGATCCGGAGATATTCGGCTGAATGAAAACGCCAATTTGGTATTTCAAATGCCCTATTGGAAGGGAAGTTCGGTTTGATTTCCGATATTAAAATATTGTAATATTCTTAAAAATAAATGTTGGGCGCCATTTTTCTCAAGTTTCTGCTAAGGAGAGAAATTTCAGTTCGGTGATCCATGCATGTACTCAAGACCATTTTCGAATTTTCCAACTCTAGAAGATCCGGAGATATTCGGCATGGATGAAAATGCCTATTTTGTATTATTTTTTAAAGGCCTATTTTTAAGGTAAGCCACTTTCTTTCCTTCGCCTTCGAAGAAAGGTCGACCCAATGCTCCCCCTAACTATTATTCTAATATCAACCTATCTGATTTCCGATATTAAAATATTGGGTATTCTTAAGAATAACTGTTGGGCGCCATTTTACTGAAGTCCTTGCTAAGGGAAGAAATCTTAGACGTGTTGCGAATTTCCCAACTCTAGAAGATCCGGAGCATATAAAAGCGACCCAAATTATGGTTCACGCTGAAAGGGAATACCACGAATCCGATGGAAAGATCAAGTAGTCATAAGCCAGCTAAGTAAGTAAGTAAGTAAGAAGATCCGGAGATATCCGGCATGATATTTCAAACGAAGAAGACAAATTTCTTTATCAATACCCTATTGGAGGGCCAGCCACGTTCAGTAGCCGAGGAGGGTCAAGCCCAAGAAAATGAGTTATGTTTAGAGATTATAAAGAAGATGCAAAAGACCCTCAAACCCAAAATTAACAAAGAAGACATGCATGGATCGTTGCTAATGGTAAATATTCGAACCTAACTGAAAATTCAAAACTAACCTCAAAATGTTCTTACAGATTTTTTTAAATGATGATGACCAACTTTCATCCCCAACCACAGTAATGGTTGAAAAAATCGTTTGATCCATCTCTACTGGTTAATCTCTCCAAAGCCATTAGGGGTTTGGTTGGAATTTCCGCAGAGTTGAAAGAGGTTCTGAATGAGTCGATCACCAGTTAGTTCACCACGTAATATATCTTAGATCTATGGAGCCATATTGGAGAGAAGTTTAACGTCCGAGGACATAACATTCTAACCTAACCGAAGAGTTGAAAGAGGTCCTGAATGAGTCAATCATCAGTTAGTTCACAACGTAATATATCTTAGATCTATAGAAACCTTGAATTGAAGTATGGGAAATGATGTAAACAAATGGTGCTACAAAAATTATGGGCGATCCTCATGGTAAAATTGTATTACCTAAAAAAGTAGATTCTCTGGTGAAAATTTTTCTCATCTTACCTTTGCATCATTTAGAGTCTCCACGAGTTCTTCATCATCTAAAATATTACCCTTCGAATGGAACAACAGCTTCAAAACTTTATCTTCCAAGGCCAAGAGTTGTTGCTTATCGGCATTGATTTTCACAATCAGATCATTGCGTTGGATTTCCAAAGCTGGGAGCTCTATGGCCACAATATCTCTGGAAGACAAATAAATAAAGAAATATTTCCCTTAAAAAAAATTCTACAACTCACGCCAATAGCTGATCTTCCAACCCCGTTTCGGTTACCAAAAAATTCACCAACGTTACATTAATACAAATCTCCGGCAAATAATGAGGATTCGCCAATTTCGTGGTCATATATAGCCGAAAACGTTCATCATAATCGATGATGACATCTCCCAATTTCAAATAGGTCCTACCCTCAAAAACATATGTTTCTCGCTGCAACACTGGTCGTATAGAGGGATCTATAGTTTCGCTAATATCCTCCAATAGAATTGGATAACCCTGTCGTATACAATTTTCCATAATCCGCAAAAGATTGCCATCGTTCATTTTAAGAATATGCAAATTATTGGATTTTTCCATGTTGCGTATCCAACGATTTGCCTGCTCCTGCGGATCTATCATAAGAGGCCAGCGCAAAGCTCTTGTAGCATATAATCCATTCTCAATGGATATATCATCTTTTGGCAGGCCATCCATGGTCCATTGGCGTATTTCGTAGGGATCTCCAAGAACTTTGAGCAGATGAAATTCAGCACTGGAGGGTATTTGCTGTTCGCGGCATTTCGCAACCCAAAGCGAGCAGAGTTCATTGCGATATTCTGTCGAGAAGGCACCTAAATAGGCAACACAAGCGGCGGAAACGAGAACGTCGCCGGGTACATAAGCCAGTTCTTGGGTGAGAATCTGGGATAAAAAATAAATAGCAAAAAAAAAAAATTAAAAAAAAAATCCATGCCTATGACAGGTTCTTGAAAAAATATTTTTTTTTTAAATACACGCCTATGACAGGTCCCTAAAAAAATATTTTTTAAAAATATTCAGGTCCTTGAAAAAATTCTTGAAGGACCCTTAGGACCCTACAAAATTTTGTGTGGACCCTTCAGACTCAAGAGTTTTGTGTAGGCTCTTCTTACCTCCACTGTTTCCTTCCAACGAACTTCTTCATCCGATAAAGCCGATGTCAGTCTCCCAGCACGATTCAACCGGCCATAGGTCAAATCCACCGCATCCTGTATAACCTGGAACTCACGACTTTTCTGATCGATATTATCTCGCAGGGCTTGAATTTTTGCCTCTACTGCAGCCAATTCCTGCTGCTTGGCTCTCAGCTCGGCCATAACCTCTTTCAGCTCACTTTCCGCCTGCTCCTTGCGTCGTATTTTCGGTTCCACAACTTTATAGACTTTGGCAAATTTATCCATGGCAATTACCCAAAGGCTGACGGACTTGGCAACCTTGGAGACTTTTTCGAATTTCTGTGGGGAAGAATAAAAAATACAAATTTACGCAGTTCGTGTAACCGTTTCTGCGAAAGACTTACGGCCGGCACAAAATCCTTGTGATCAATATATTTTTTGACCTTCTTCAGGGTATCCTCCTTAATGTGTTCCTTGTCGAATTCGAAAAGGCGTTTTATGAAATTCACATCAGCCATAATTGTCTTGGCAGAGGCCCAGGTGGGTCTGGCGAAAGATAGAAAATTATATTCGGAACATAATCATTGTGGTTTCTGAAAAGACATCTTACTTGGCGCCCAACAGTATGCACACAGCCTCCATAACAAACTGCACCAAGGCCGGTGGTGTGGTAAATGATTTCAGTTCATTGATATCAGCTTTGGTAAGACCTTTCAAGGCCTCTTCAGATTCCTTGAGAGCTGGCATGGCAATTTCTAAATCTTTATTGGCATCATCGGACATGGCCTGACAAACGGCTGCTTTTTCTTTGGCACTGGCCTCATCCCTCACCACACTTTCCTTGACCATATCCGCTTGCTTGGTATCGATGGCTAAACGTTCGAGGAGGGTTTTCATATTCGCCGATTTTTCATCCAGCTGAGGGACCATGACCTCCAGTTCTTTTTGCATGACAGCGATCTATAAAAATGGGGAGGCTCCTTAATGATAAAATCTCCTTCGAGGATCTCTACTTACAATTTCATTGGTTTCCAAAATTTTATTCAGGCCATTTGCAATGCGCTTCCTCTTATTCATCAGATCCTGGGTCTTATCCTTCAGCAGACTTTGATAGAGTTTCAGCAGTTCCAAATAGCTGCTTGGCGTGGTATAATAATGCCGTTTCATTTCTTTGTAAAATCTCTGAGAGGCCTCCTCCACAGTTTTATGCATAAATACCGTCGTGGTGGCCAATGCCTGACACTCCTCCGGGGTTTTGGTATTTTTCGCCAATAGGCCCAAGGCCACGGAATATAGAGCCTCGGTCGGCCAATTTGAAAACCAATCAATTGTGGTGCAATTCACCAACGAAGGAAACATGCGACAGCGTCTTCGGAATGCATCTCCCACTGGGGACATAGACAGGACCACATGGAGATTGTTGCGCACACGATTTATGAAGAATTTGTAAATTGTATCACGCGAGCAACCCTGTGAGAAAAAGGTATAGTTAGGGCTAGTAGAAGTTCCTTTCAGAATTCCCAAGAAGTTACCTCTTTATTGACAGCATTACATTGATCTCGGGCATCCAGGATAATCTTCTCATAATCATCGCCCTCAAAGAGATTGGGCACCTCTCCCGAATTCAAAATATTATTGATGTCCTCCAGGAATTCTTCCTCCACAATTTGGGTGTCAATCATCAGGAACACAACGGGTTGATTGTCAATCTGAAAAAGGGGTGAAGAAGGCATTGAAGAGGTCTGCTATATGTACTTTAAAAATCCACCCATCACATAGGCCTTGAAAAAATTTACTTTTAAAATCTACGATCCAAGCCTCATATAGGCCTCGAAAAACATTCCCGAAACTCACCCCCGCTTGCCGATAAATAATCTTCAGATCCTCATGGAATCCATTGATATCATAGTTCCGCTTCAGCTCAATTTGCATGCACTTATATTCATTGACATGGGCTGCCAATTTGGTCAACGACTGCTTTCCCATTCCGGCCACACCCACCAGTAGACCATTTCCACGATCACTACGCAGTAGACGTGCCAACCGCACCGTATGTTCCAAAGCATCCTGAAAGAGTATCAAATGCATCCGCTTCCCTGTCATCGTATTATAATCCTCCACATAATCCATCAGGATACTTTCCAACTTCGTATGATCTTTAATCTCTTCGTAGATACGTTCCGATCGTGCCTTACCAAAGACCATAAAATCCCCAAACAATATTGGAGGTTCCGTCTCACGATAGACTTCTTTGTGGAAATGTTTCTCGCAAACTTCATGCATGATTTTTTTGAAGAGTTTCCGATCATCATCGTTGATTAGGCGATCATGAAAGACCCGAGTTGTCTCGTGATAGAATAACCTTAAAATTTGCATTTCCTGATTATAGTGGAGATTACTGGCCTGGAGTATACCCTGAATGCATTTGGAGAGATCTCGTAAATTGAAAATGTAATGTGACTTGTCAGGGGTGGGCAACATTTCTTGGGCAATGCGCATATAGACATCAACGCAGGCATTGACGATGGGTTCGGACAGGGGTCTTATGGTTGAGGAGAAGCTGCTGAGAAATCTGCAAGAACCCAAAATTCAATATCGAACACTTCCATCACCCGAAGAAGTACTCACCCTGTTAGGATTCCATTGAAAATGGTTGTCAAGGTCTCATCATTCGGCTTGGGCAGGGCAAACAGGGCAAAATGTCTTACAAATCGAGGAGTCAAAGGATTTCGGCCACCACCCGGGTGGAGCACAGGCACAGCCTAGTACCACATCAACAATTTCCTTCCAGAAGAGTTTCTCGCGATCATAGAAACCTTGGAAGTCCAGGAATTGTCTGGAAACAACAAAAAAAGTTTCTAACGATCTTCAAGGCCCATTCCTCTCTTATATGTAGTAGTTCACATACCTCAGTAACTCTATGGCCGGTTGACTACCATAGGTATCCTATATGAGGCTTAGGCGTGGATTTTTTAAAGAATATTTTTTCAAGGCCTATATGAGGCTTAGGCGTGGATTTTTTAAAGAATATTTTTTCAAGGCCTATATGAGGCTTAGGCGTGGATTTTTTAAAGAATATTTTTTCAAGGCCTATATGAGGCTTAGGCGTGGATTTTTTAAAGAATATTTTTTCAAGGCCTATATGAGGCTTAGGCGTGGATTTTTTAAAGAATATTTTTTCAAGGCCTATATGAGGCTTAGGCGTGGATTTTTTAAAGAATATTTTTTCAAGGCCTATATGAGGCTTAGGCGTGGATTTTTTAAAGAATATTTTTTCAAGGCCTATATGAGGCTTAGGCGTGGATTTTTTAAAGAATATTTTTTCAAGGCCTATATGAGGCTTAGGCGTGGATTTTTTAAAGAATATTTTTTCAAGGCCTATATGAGGCTTAGGCGTGGATTTTTTAAAGAATATTTTTTCAAGGCCTATATGAGGCTTAGGCGTGGATTTTTTAAAGAATATTTTTTCAAGGCCTATATGAGGCTTAGGCGTGGATTTTTTAAAGAATATTTTTTCAAGGCCTATATGAGGCTTAGGCGTGGATTTTTTAAAGAATATTTTTTCAAGGCCTATATGAGGCTTAGGCGTGGATTTTTTAAAGAATATTTTTTCAAGGCCTATATGAGGCTTAGGCGTGGATTTTTTAAAGAATATTTTTTCAAGGCCTATATGAGGCTTAGGCGTGGATTTTTTAAAGAATATTTTTTCAAGGCCTATATGAGGCTTAGGCGTGGATTTTTTAAAGAATATTTTTTCAAGGCCTATATGAGGCTTAGGCGTGGATTTTTTAAAGAATATTTTTTCAAGGCCTATATGAGGCTTAGGCGTGGATTTTTTAAAGAATATTTTTTCAAGGCCTATATGAGGCTTAGGCGTGGATTTTTTAAAGAATATTTTTTCAAGGCCTATATGAGGCTTAGGCGTGGATTTTTTAAAGAATATTTTTTCAAGGCCTATATGAGGCTTAGGCGTGGATTTTTTAAAGAATATTTTTTCAAGGCCTATATGAGGCTTAGGCGTGGATTTTTTAAAGAATATTTTTTCAAGGCCTATATGAGGCTTAGGCGTGGATTTTTTAAAGAATATTTTTTCAAGGCCTATATGAGGCTTAGGCGTGGATTTTTTAAAGAATATTTTTTCAAGGCCTATATGAGGCCTGTATTTTTACAAGGCCTATATGAGGGGGATTTTTTATCTTACCCATATTTAGTGGTATCCACCGTCGGAACCTGCATATCGAAATATTTATCCTCCGGATTGAAAATAAATTCATCAATAATACTGGACCAGGGTTCCCAACTGCGAGTGGCCATATTGATGCGATAGTCCCAGAGGGAGGTGTCCTGCGGTAAGCTTAGGAGAGAAAAGTATTTTAAATAATATTAAGGAACCGATTTTTTTGATGCAAACTTACTCCATGGACCCCATTGCATCCCTTATCAATTTCTCAAACAGAATTTTCTCATTATCCCTGAAATTGGAACCCTGGGACCATAGAACACACCATACGAACATTTTCCGCAATAGCGATTGATACTCCTCTTCCTTCAGCTCACGCCATTGAATCATTTCAATGAGCGAAGACAGCAGTTCCAAACATAGCCGAACCTTGGAACTGGTCACTTGATGAATCACAAATGATCCATGTTTTTTGGACAATTCCAAGAGCGAAGCGAAGTGAGTTGTAAATAATTCATAGAGATATTCAAATGCCTGGGAGTGTATCCTTTTTTGTATATCTCCCGATTTCCAGGAATCGAGTAGGGGTTGCCATCCCATATCTTCCGGATCAACATAGACCATACCACAGCGTGACACGGTGGCTGGTGAGGCCTGAACCAGGTCTTGTACCTCGAAAACCATATGCACCCAAGCGGTAAGTTTGATACGTTCCGAATTGGCCAGGCATAACATTTTATTGTCATCCAGCACGGTATTGAGATTTTCAATCCAGACGGCATCGACGGGACCGTCATTGACAATCCATTGGTGAATTTCCTCTGGGGAGGATTTTTTAATTAATTTTATTTCGAAATAAATTCTAACACCTTACCCTCCACATTGACGGCCGTGCGCACAGCTAAGCCCAGCAGGCCATCTTGCCATTCCAGAGTTTTAAGATCCACATAGCCATACAGCTCATTCATGGACACAGCCTTGGGATTCATGCACTGAATCGTAACGGGTCGGAAGTTTGGACCCTCTACCCCAGATTCAAACAAATGGCCCAATGCCTCCTCCAAGGCATGTAGAACCGTTGATTTACCACCACCCGTGGGGCCCACCAACATTACACCCCAACGAACACACATGGTCTCGTAGAGTTGTATACATTTCCTCAGGGTGGCCTGAACGGGCTGCAGATTCTTCTCCCTTAGACAGAAAACCAAACTTTCCTCCAGCTCAGGATGTGAGGAATCCGGCAATTCCACTCCCGGAAACAAATCACTGAGGATACCTAAAAACAATATCGCATCATCGGCCAAAAATTTGGGAATATTTGAATCTCTCAGGGCGGCAATTAGGGTTATATCCTCCCTTTGATCAGGTGCTGCACGTTTCAGCGAGCCAGCCATTACCAGCACCGATTTCACCGCCCTCATACCAAAGTCATAGTGATTTTGTTGACTCAGCTGTTCGGAACAGAGTTTATACATTTGTACCATTTTATGTGCCAGACTTTTGGGGTCCTCAAAACCCTCGGAATATAATATGACCTCGGCAATAAGGGCATAATCGGGGACCATCATGGAAATGGGGCGGAACAAGGCCTTCAAATTGTCAGGGAGTTCAGTACGGCCAGCATAACCGGGGTTCATGGTTATGAAGACGGCACAGGATTTACTCAGCTTGATTTCACGGCCCTCGAAGATGAAACTGGATGAAGAAGGAAAAATATTATTTTTGATCACCTACCCTCTCCTCAGCTTCCGTTCTACATACCGCTTAGCATTTACCACCTTGGCATTCCTGATGGTAATCAATTGCTGAGCAATAACCGAGAGGACCTCAATATCGATGCGATTGAATTCGTCGAAACAACACCAAGCCCCACATTGAGCGAGACCGGAGAAAAATCGACCCATCATTTTATAATCCAAACCATCGGAACAATTGAAGACGACACATTGTTTTGCCACGGACTTGGCCAAATCTTTGGTGGTTTCCGTTTTTCCTGTACCCGCTGGACCGGCCGGTGCGCCACCCAAATCCATTTGTATGGCACCCATTAAACATAAATAACATCGGTCGGTAAGGGGCGTGAGAACCAATACACCTCCAGCTCCCAAATATTCATAATAATAGGGGATATTGGCCGATGCCATGCGGGAGTAAATCGTTTCCGTTTCTATGGACCAATAGAAGCGTAACATTTTCAGCCAATCAAAATCGGAGCTGGAAGGATAAAAAACAGGATTTTTGTTAATAGTCCATGCTCATATAGGGTTTGGAAAAAATAATCTTTAAAAACTCCGCTTCTTTGCCTTATATAGACCTTGAACAAAATAATCTTTAAAAACACCGCTTCTATGCCGCATATGGGCCTTGAAAAAATTATTTTTTAAAAAACCACGCCTACGAGAGTACCAATAGGAATTAATATTGGAAATCCAATTGGTCTTCTTATTAGAATCCAATAGGACTTCTTGTTAGAATTTAAAGATGTCTTCTTAATGGAAGTTCGGAATTTATTTTTATTGAAATACCAAGAGGTTTTCTTGTTAGAAGTTCAACTGAGTTCCTCATTAGAGGGCCAGTAGGTATTCTTATTAGAAAACTAACAGGTTTTCTTATTTGTAGTGCAAGAGGTATTCTTATTAGAGGACCAATAAGATACCAATATGCTTTCTTATTAGAATCCATTTGGGCTTCTTATTAGAATTTGATGATGTCTTCTTATTGGAAATTCGAAATTCATTTTTATTGAAATACCAAGAAGTTTTCTTATTAGAAGTCCAAGTGAGTTTCTTATTTAAGGACCAGTAGGTATTCTTATTAGAAATGCAAGAGATCTTCTTATTAGAGGACAATCTTCTACTTAGGAAACCTATTGGTCTTCTTATTGGAAGTCCGCGAGTATTCACCTTTAAATTGTTTTTTTATTTCACTTACGATTTCACAACCTGCTTCTCAATTAGCAGCGATACCGAATCCTTGGCATGCACATCAATGGTTATCAAAGCGGTCAGGACCTTCCTAACCAAACTGCTAATATTCTGTCTTGTCAAAGCTGCCAAGGCTGCTAAATTTTTCAAACATTTCTTCTCGAAGAGTTTCATTTCCTGCATTATTTTCTCTTCCGACCATTTCGGATTATCCAAAATGTAATGGATATCCGCCGCCCACTGTTGCTGAGACACTGTCAGGGCCACCTGATTTGGATGATCTTGAAACCATTCATCCCGCTGCTTATGCGGATAACATTGATAACCAAATCGCATTGCCCTCTTCACAGAGGCAAACATACCCTCCTCTACCTTGCTGAGCCACTCCTCAACAGCTCCTCGAGCTTTCAGGCCCTTTTGGAAGAGTAGTTTTTCACCTTCTGGTGAAATGAAGGCTAAGATATCATTGGTGGGTATTGTACGGCCGCTACCATCTCCGCAATCTTTTTGTCCGAATTCCAGCCGGTGGATGGCATCGAAACATTTTCGCAAATGGGGTTGCACGGTTTGCGGAATGCGTGTTTGAGCCAGAATTTCCAATAGCTCATCATTGGAAAGGAAGTAGAATCTGAGGAGAGGGAGATAACTATAATATTATTTTGGTTATTCCAAACTTCGAAACTTACCTTGGAAACACCACCCGCTTCACCTCCAAATAGGCCTCCAGACCTCGAGTAATTAAATCCAAATTGCGATTATTTTCCAATAACACATCATAGTTATCCTTGGATGACATTACCGGCAGAGCCAGGGATATTTTTTTCGCGGAGCGTACCATTTCCTTGAAACTTTTATCGACGGCAAAAAACATTTTGGCCTCTTGAGGCAGCTGGCGTTGAATATCGGGCGAGGCAAAGATGGCCTCCAAATAAATCCAGGATGTTTGGCAGTCCATCCAGACCTCTGTAAACCAAAAAAAAAAAAACTTATTCTACATTCCGCACAAGGGAGCCATGAACAAATAACCTCTCACCTAAAGTCTTTCCGAACTGTTCCAAGGCCCCAATCCATTCATCGACCTTATTTTTAATGGGCGTTACATATTTCGAGGCTGCAATGGTATTGATATTAACATTGGAATCATCCAGAATAGTTTGCAGCTCTTCGGTTCCCGCCAATATGAACACATCCTTCTGATCATGATGGCAGACCACAGAAAGTTCCTGCTCCTTCCATACAGCTTCGAGGGATTTCAACATATTTTCCAATTGAGCCTCTCCAGTGGCTTGTGAAGAGATTTCCATTAGCGAATTTGCAATTTCATCGGCAAAGGCATTCGCCTCCTCATAGGTGGAGAGTAGAATACCCTCCTCTTGAAAGAACTTCCGGCCCAAAACTGTTTCAATTTCACTCCAGTGACGCTGAATGAAGGGAGTTTTAATATATATTCGATGTGATTAGTATATCAGTCGATTTTCTTTTTAGAAGGGCAAGATGTCTTCTTATTAGAAGACCAAGAGATCTTCTTATTAGACTCTAAACTGAAGACCAATAGGACTTGTTAGTAATAGATTTTCTTATTAGATGACCAGTAGGTCTTCGTATTAGTAAACCAATAGGCCTCTTTGTTGGTAGACTAATAGAACTTTTTATTAGAGATCTTCTTATTAGAAGGTCAAATGGTCTTCTTATTAGAAAGTCAATTGATTTCTTATTGGAAGACCGAAAGTTCCTGAAGACTAATAGGACTTCATAATAGTTGTAGATTTTCTTATTAGAAGACCAATAGGTCTCCTTATAGATCTACCAATAGAATTTTTTATTAGAGATATTCTTATTAGAATGGCAAGAGGTCTTCTTATTAGAAGATCAAGAGATCTTCTTATTAGAAGATCAAGAGGTCTTATTATTAGGTGAGCGAACGTTCCTCCAATTAGATAAGATCGTCCACTTAGGAGGCCAAAAAAAACTTCCAATTGGAAGACCGATTGATTCTCTTATTAGGATTCTTCCAATTAGAATACCGGAGGTTTTTTCCTATTTGCAGGCCAATAGGTCTTCCAACTAGAAAAATGTATTCCAGTCAAAAGGCCAACATGACTTCATGGGACTTCTTATTAGAATGACAAAAGGTATTCTTATTAGAGACCACTAGTTAGTGAGAGGAAAAAATATTTTCCAATAAGACAATCTACATGTCTTCAATTAGAATACCGGAGGTTTTTCCTATTAGCAGATCAATACGTCTTCCAACTAGAAAATGACGAATCGGTATTCCAATTAGAGGAAATAATATTTTCCAATAAGACAATCTACATGTCTTCAATTATAATACCGGAGGATTTTCCTATTAGCAGATCAATAGGTCTTCCAACCAATATGACTATATAGGACTTCTAATTAGAATGGACTTCTTATAAGAGAACCAATAGCTTTTCTTATTAGAATAGCAAACGATATGCTGATATTAGACAACGAAACGATCTTCCAATTAGAAGGATAAAATGTCTTCCAATAAGAAAACCCACATGTTTTCCAATTATATGACCATAAAATCTTTCAAATAGAACACCAAGAGGTCTTCTTATTAGAATTCTATAAGAAAACGTAGATATCTTCCAATTAGAAAACCAATATAAATGTCACAAAAACTTCTATCTACATACCGCTCTAAAATTCGGATTCCTCAGATAACCAATAACGGGAAGTTTCAATTTAAAATTTTCCGCAGCCAACTTCAGATCGGGAACTATGTTATTCGGCGGCAGATACTTTTCATATTGCATACAATTTTTTATAGTTTTAATGGTTAAATCGGTTAGCTCCGTAACCTGAAGTTGATTAAATTCCCTTACGATCCAACGATAATAGGCCTCTTCCCATTCTTCGACAGAGTTATGGAGATTTTGTCGTAGTCGTACTTCTGTAAAGGCCATATCCATTTCCGTGTACATGGTTATATCGATTTTGAATTCTTTCTGGTAGCGTATATATTCGGCAGCATGTTCGTGTAGACGTTCGAGGCGCTCCAGCAGGTCTTTGAGTCGGGATTTTACCAAGGAGCGGTCGGAGTTTTTCTAAAAAGAAAACAGGAATATTTTTTTTCGAGATCTTTTTCAAGACGTAGATTTTTACAAATTATTTTTTCAAGGCCTATATAAGGCGCGGATTTTTTAAAGGATATATTTTTTCAACAACCCAACAGAGTACTCACATCAATTAAAAATGGATCCTGCAGTTCTACATATATTTCATGTGTCTCTTCGAATATCAGCTGAATATCTTCGTTCATTTTCTCCTCCAGCTGTTTGACAAACTCCCCTCTCTTCGCTTGGATTTCTTTCAGCTTATCGTTTGTACGATTTACCAAATCTTCACAATCCATATAGTCCTCCTTACGTTCATCATCGATGGGTATTGCGAAGTCCTTAATGATCATAAAGACATCATGGACATAATCGACATCACGAAAGAGATTCTGCATTTCCTCATCGACAACATCTAAGAAGCGAATGTGTGAGACAATTTCCAATGTGGTTATGGGTTCGGCAGTTATCCGTCCCGATAAATCATTTGTGGCCTCATTGATGCGCTCCACCTCTTCGGTGGCTAATCTGGAAGGGAATTCTTTTGTTAGGAAAAATATGTGGAATTTTCCAAGGTCCCCTAACTTACTTGGGTAAATAATTCGCCAAGACATTTTGCAGTTTTATGCACACCGGAGTTACCGTGTCCTTGAAACTACCTTGACTTAATTTTAATAGCCCCAGATGAACAACGGAGAGTATACCATCCAATGCCTTGACATTGTTGCAATAACGTTCGCAATATGCTCGAAGTTTTTCTAAATCTGTAAAGAAATATTTATAGATTATCAGTACCAGGTCCCCTTCTTACCTACCTCTTTCGCTTTTCAAAATATTCGGATCTGTTTGGGTATCAATTTCATAATTATTACGTATGGTTTCAAACCTCAAGGTGTATATTTCGGCTTTCTCATAGGCCTCCCTTATGTAGGAGTAAATTATTTTCCTAGAAGAAAAGGTCCAGAATTAATCTGAGATCTAGAATCTGATAACTATATCCCTGCACATCCCTGAGATATAATCACTTACCGATTTATTTGAAATTCCTCATCGGTTCTTAGCAGGAAATTCAAATCGGGCGCCACACCGGATAGCCTCTCTTCTTGGCGTCCCATAATTGAGGGCCTGGATTAAAGTAATAGATTTTTTTAAATAATTCTAAATTTCGAACTTCAAAGGTACGTACTCGGTAAATTGTCTATAGGTGGTATCATCCGTAAAGTTCTGAATCTCCATGACTGTTTCCAAGATGAGGGTGGAAATTCGGGTGAAGATGTGTTTCATTACTTCCCTGGAAGAATAAAGGAAAATACAAATGCAGGACTTAATAGGACTTTCAGAGACTCAGAAAATATTCATTAAAAAATTAACGAATAGAGGTCTAAGTGACCCTCAAAAGATATTCATTTAAAAAATTCACGCATAGAGGTCTCCTGGAGCATCAAAATAATATGCATTATACATTATATGCATTATCATATCCATGCCTAGGTGTCTTCTGGAGCTTCAAAAAAATCCATTTTAAAATCCACGTCTAGATGGAGCCTCAAAAAATATGTGTTATAAAATCCACGTCTAGATGGAGCCTAAAAAAATATGTATTATAAAATCCACGTCTAGATGGAGCCTCAAAAAATATGGAATATGAAATCCACACCTAGATGGAGCCTCAAAAAATATGGAATATGAAATCCACACCTAGATGGAGCCTCAAAAATATGCATTATAAAACCCACGCCTAGATGGAGCCTCAAAAAATATGCATTATAAAATCCACGCCTAGATGGAGCCTCAAAAAATATGCATTATAAAATCCACGCCTAGATGGAGCCTCAAAAACTAACCTTTAAAAAATCTACGCCTACATGGAGCCTCAAAAATTAACCTTTAAAAAATATACGCCTAGATGGAGCCTTAAAAATTAACCTTTAAATGGAGCCTCAAAAATTAACCTTTAAAAATCTACGCCTAGATGGAGCCTCAAAAATGAATATTTAAAAAAACCACGCCTAGATGGAGCCTCAAAAATGAATCTTTAAAAAAACCACGCCTAGATGGAGCCTCAAAAATGAATCTTTAAAAAAACCACGCCTAGATGGAGCCTCAAAAATGAATATTTAAAAACTCCACGCCTTGAGGTCCTCTGCAGCCTCCAAAAATGAATCTTCAAAAAATCCACGCCTAGAGGTCTTCTTGAGCCTCAAAAATGAATCTTTAAAAAATCCACGCCTAGAGGTCTTCTGGAGCCTCAAAAATGAATCTTTAAAAAATCCACGCCTAGATGGAGCCTAGAGGTATTCTGGAGCCTCAAAAATGAATCTTTAAAAAATCCACGCCTAGATGGAGCCTCAAAAATTAACTTTTAAAAAATCCACGTCTAGAGGGAGCCTCAAAAATTAACTTTTAAAAAATCTACGCCTAGATGAAAGCTCAAGAATTAACTTTTAAAAAATCCACGCCTAGAGGGAGCCTCAAAAAATAATCTTTAAAAAATCCACGCCTAGAGGAAGCCTCAAAAATGAATCTTAAAAAATCCACGCCTAGAGGAAGTCTCAAAAATGAATCTTTGAAAAATCCACGCCTAGAGGGAGCCTCAAAAAAAGAATCTTTAAAAATATACGTCTAGAGGAAGTCTCAAAAATTAATCTTTGAAAAATTCACGCCTAGAGGTCTTCTTGGTCCTAGAAATCAATCTTTAAAAATCCAACCTGGCCTTTGAAATATTTTTTTTTTTAAAAATCCCCTCTCATACTTACTCGGATGGTTCGATTTCAATGCGATCCGGCAGTAGATGTAAATTTGTCACAAAGAACGGATTCTAGAAGTGAGAAGAGAAAATTTACTCGAATAACTTATTGAAATGAAAGGAACTACTCTTACCTGTGGCGCATCGGCTGGTCTTTCCGGTTCCAATTGTTCGTGTAAAGTTAAGTTTTCCTGCAGCGCCTCCTTTGAAGGTCCTAAAGAGTCATGTATGCGCAAAGCATTCGCCAAATCCCGGAAACTATTCACGGTCACCTTGTGCAGCATATGGTACATCATGTGGTCACAGTAGCTCAGGAAGCTATCGAAGGAGGAAAAAATGAAAAAAAAAATGTTGGTACCCCTCAAGGACGTCCATAGAAGTCCGATTTAAAAAAATCCCAAACTTACTTCGACAGAATTTTACAAAAATTCCTCTTCTTGGCTCGATCCATAAAACTCATGGCATCGCGCATTTTCTTTATCGAAGGATAATGATTGATCTCATCATCGGGAAAAAAGCCATGGGCAATAATGGCATTAAGACAGGCCTCATCTGGGGGTTAATAAGAAAATTAAAATTCTAAATAAAAATTGCAATATTTTCCAGGGCAAAAAACATACACAGGGTCTTTCTGGTCCGCTCCCGAAAATCTCGAAATTTGAGTTTTAATCGTTCATAGATTTTCATTTGTATCTCCAGGAAATAGAAGGGATGCCAATCCTCAATGACTGCAAAGGAAATAGAAAAATAAAAATCCGTATTATTTCAAGGACCATCTGAGGTGTGGATTTTTATATACGGAATATGGCCTACATGGGCCACAGGCCTGGATTTTTATACCCCATACGAGTTTAGAGTTGATAAAAACACCACGATGTGCTGAGTTTGGGTTAAATCGGATATTTTTTCAAGGTCTATATGAGACCTGATATTTGTTTAATATTTTGTCAAGGCCTATATGGGACCTGGATTTGTTAATATTTTTTGGGGCCTATAAAGGACCTGGATTTTTTCAGAGTTCCATTATAAGTCGAGGCTTACCTGTCACATTCACAAAATTACTATTCTCCAATTGGACAATCTCCGCTCGCAGCTGAAGTATCGATCTGGCCAAATGTGGTATGGCTATGAATAAATGTTCCTGCAAATGCATTCGAGCTTCCGATTGCTTCTTCCATTTCACAGTTTTCTCCCATACCTTAAAGCCCTTCCACAGGCGGAAGACGGCAAAGGTCCGTATTTTTATGATACTCAAAAATTGTTGAAACTCCTGCTGCCACTGCAGCAGCGGCGTGAAGAAATTCTCCGATAAATGCCAATAGGTTACACCATGCCGACTCATTGTGAAATACAACTGCTTATTCGGCAACTCGGCCCATGAATATTCCTTTAGACTGTATGGTGTAAAATATTCACTTGTCCGGGGAAGCATATAGGTGAGATAAATGAAACTATCATCCTTTTGCGAACGCATACGTTCCACCAGAATATTCAAATCGGGTATAAGCGATGCTCCAGTTTTAATGCCACCATCGTTAAGGGAGTCCTTTTGGCCCTCCAGTTTAGGTTTTTTCTCTTGTCCTGCACTAGATTCGGTTTTTTTAAATGATACCGAGGGTCGTTTAGGTTTCAAGCGACCACTTGGATTCATAATATCCAATTGTTTGATTTTCGAACTCAATTTTTCATTGCTGAACTTGTAGGAGGACATTTTTCGTATTTTTATTTATTTGTTTGCTTTTCAAATTCGTTTCTTCGTTCCGATATGAAAATTGTTTTAAAAATTGTTGACAAATAACTTGACATGAGTTTACCTAGCAACGGTTTTTTGTGTTGCCAACCCAGAAAACAAGAACCGATTTTTAAAACAATCGTGTATTTTTAAAGTAAGGCAACCAAAATTTTCTATAGAAAAAAATTTATATTTCCATAGAAAATAATTACTTTCCTATAGAAAAAATATTCGGTTAATTTTATTGAAAAATTACAAATTGCATATGAAATCAGTACACAGTACCCTCTGGTACTTTCGAAGTGGTTAGTTGAAAATCCCAATTTTCATCGTATTCCACGTTATGTCCAATCATAGACCAATATTGAAAATTTTCAGTTGGGAAAATACCTCTTAACTGAAATTTTTCAACCTCTGAGAACCCGAAGATAATGCGGCTATAACCCTAAATATACCTAAAAGAGGGCAGCTATGTAAAAACATGGCCAAATAATCGGACAAACAATAGGAGTTTGGTGCACCATTTATGTAAAATCGGACGAAAATAAAAATGGGAGCTATATCCGATTTTCATGGAACTTAACACATATCATTCTAAAGTTAATTCAGTACACTGTGCCAAATTTCGTGCAAATCGAAAGATATATAGGGTCTTTGGTGCATCGTTTACATTAAATCGGACGAAAATATATATGGGAGCTATATCTAAATCTGAATCGATTTTTACGAAACTTAGCACACATCATTGTAGACTCAATTCAATATGCTGTGCCAAATTTCGTGCAAATCGTGAGATATATAGGGACTTTGATGCACCATTTACCTTAAATCGGACAAAAATATATATGGGAGCTATATCTAAATCTGAAGCGATTTTCACGAAAATTATCACACATCATTCTAGACACAATTCGATATCCTGTGCCAAATTTCGTGCAAATCGAAAGATATATAGGTCCTTTGGTGCTCCATTTACATATAATCGGACGGAAATTTGTATGGGAGCTATATCTAAATCTGAACCGATTTTCAGGAAACTTAACACACATTATTCTAGGTTTAATTCAGTACCCTGGCCACATTTCGTGCAAATCGATAGATATACAAGGGCTTTGGAACACCAGGAAAACTTAACACACATAATTCTAGACCTAATTCAATACACTACACCAAATTTCGTGCAAATCGAAGGATATATAAGGACTTTGGTACACCATTTACATTAAATCGGACGAAAATATATGTGGGAGCTATATCTAAATCTGAAACGATTTTTACGAAACTTTGCACAAATCATTCTAGATTTAATTCAGTACGCTGTGCCAAATTTCGTGTAAATCGAAAGATATATAGGGCCTTTGGGGCACCATTTAGCTTAAATCGGACGAAAATATATATGGAAGCTATATCTAAATCTCAATCGATTTTCACGAAACTTAGAAAACATAATTCTAGGCTTAATTCAGTACGATGTGCCAAATTCCGTGCAAATCGAAGGATAATTAAGGACTTTGGTGCACCATTTACTTTAAATCGGACGAAAATATATATGGGAGCTATATCTAAATCTGAACCGATTTTCTTCAATTTCAATAGGGTTCATCCTTGGGCCAAATAAATGAGCTGTGCCAAATTTCATCCAATTCGAATCATAAATGCGACCGATACCTGGTTTACAATTTAACATGGACAGACAGGCGGACGGACAGACATAAATTGACTTAGAAAGTGATTCTATGCATATTCTCAAAAGGAATCATGTGTCTATCTCGTTTCCATTTGTCTGTTACAAACATATGCAGAAAGACATAAACCCTGTACCACAGTGCGGTGAAGGGTATAAAAACCGAAAAACCCAATTACAACCACTTTGGTCAGGAAACTACGGCGAGGAACTTTAAAATATCGAAAATCATTCGGAACGCTTATTTATATAGGAACTACTAATCAAAACATAGTCCTATACGAATAAATATCTGCCAAAAGGTGGTATTTTATTCTCTGAAATCTTAAATATGAAATTTCAACCACTTTGATTGGAAAATCGGTGAATGGGAACAGTATTTTGCCGATTTAAATGATATCCACTTGATATAATGTTTTCTTTATTTCCTCAATTAATTTCCGACAATTGTTATTGTTTTTCTCAAAATGAATTAATTTCCCAATGACAACATGGCATTCAGCAACAATCTAATATCAAAATAATATCAAAGACACCAATTTCCAGTCATTCAAAGCTAATTTAACGTTTTTGCAAATGATCACGATTTCCCTAGTTCTCCGTGGTGAAAATACTAGTTTATCGATACACATACAAACTACACAATCTCCCCCAACCAACGGTACAAGTTTTATGTCAATACGTTCATTCATTACTGAGTTATAGCCATTTAAAGTTGACCTTGTGTCAAAATATAGCGGCTACACGATTCTGTTGGCCTGGTACCTCAAATTGGAAAAATGGTTGAAATTGGCATTTTCACAAAAGCGAAAAAGTACAAGTACAAGCAGCATCATTGCCACGTTGTTCGATTTTTCTTTGATTTGTGTGGTTGGTTTACAAATTCTGAGCATACTTTCAGGCGCATCATTTAAAATGATATCCATGTGAAAGTTATACGGCTCGTGATTTTAATGTAACGCCTAAAAGTATGCTCAGAATTTATAAACTAACATTAAAACACTATGGAAACGGGGATCTGGTAACATTGCAGTATTTTGTGGTTTTACCATTTGCGATTTCTTCACTTTTCCAATTTGTGGTACCAGGCCAACAGAATCGTGTAGCTGCTATATTTTGACACAAGGTCAACTTGAAATGGCTATAACTCAGTAATGAAGGTACGTATCGACATAAAACTTTTCCCGTTGGTTAGGGGGGATTGTGTAGTTTGTATGTGTGTGTCGATAAACAAGTATTTTCCCCACGAAGAACTAGGGAAATGGTGATCATTTGCAAAAACGTTAAATTACCTTTGAATGACTGAAAATTGGTGTATATGAGAAAATTTTGATATTCGATTGTTGCGGAATGCTTGTTGTCATTGGGAAATTAATTTATTTTGAGAAAAACAATAACGATTGTCGGAAAAATTAAGGAAATAATGAAAACATTTTATCAACTGGATGGACATCATTTAAATCGGCAAATTGCTGTTCGCATTCGCATTTTCCAATCAAAGTGGTGGAAATTTGATATTTAAGATTTCAGAGGATAAAATACCACCACCTTGGCAGATATTTATTAATATATGGGGTATATGTTTTGACTAGTAGCACCTATAAATAAGTGTCCCGAATGATTTTCGATTTTTTTTAAGATCCTCATCGTAGTTTCCTAACCAAAGTGGTTGTAATTGGGTATTTCGGTTTTTATACCCTTCACCACACTGTGGTACACGGTATTATGTCATATATTTGTAACAGGCAAAAGGAAACGAAATAGACACATGGTTCCTTTTGAGAATATGCATAGAATCAAATTCTGAGTCGATTTATGCATGTCCGTCCGTCTGTAGATGTTAAATTGTAAACAAAGCACAGGTCGCATTTATGATCCGATTAGGATGAAATTTGGCACAGCTCATTTCTTTGGCCCAAGGACGAACCCTATTGAAATTGCAGAAAATCGGTTCAGATTTAAATATATCTCCCATATATATTTTTGTCCGATTTAAGGTAAATGGTGTGCCACAGTCCCTAAATATATTTCGATATGCCTGAAAATTGGCATAGCGTACTGACATAAGCCTAGAATGATGTGTGTTAAATTTCGCGAAGATCGGTTCAGATTTAGATATAACTTAGATATAGGTGCGCCAAGGTCCCTAAATATATTTTTATATGACCGAAATTTTGCATAGCGTACTGAATTGAGTGTATAATGATGTGTTCTAAGTTTCGTGAATATCGGTTCAGATTTAGATATAGCTCCCATATACATTTTCGTCCGATTTAAGGTAAATGGTGCGCCAAAGTCCCGATATATATTTCGATATGCGAAAAATTTTGCATGGTGTGCTCAATTGAGAATAACATGTGCCAAATTTCGTGAAAATCGGTTCAGATTTAGATATAGCTCCCATATATATTTTCGTCCGATTTAATGTAAATGGTGAACCAAAGTCCCTATATAAGCTTTCAATTGCACGAATTTTGGTACAGAGCACTGAATTAAGTCTAGAATGATGTATGTTAAGTTTAGTGGAATTCGGTTCAGATTTAGATATAGCTCCCATATATATTTTCGTCCGATTTACTGTAAATGGTGCCCCAAAGTCCCTATATATCTTTCGATATGCACGAAATTTGGAACAACGCACTGAATAAAGTCTAGAAGGATGTGTTCTAAGTTTCGTGAATATCAGTTCAGATTTAGATATAGCTCCCATATACATTTTCGTCCGATTTAAGGTAAATGGTGCACCAAAGTCCCTATATATCATTCGATTTGCACGAAATTTGGCATCGCGTACTGAATTGAGCCTAGAATGATGTGGTCTAAGTTTCCTGAAAATCGGTTCACTTTTACATATAGCTCCCATATAAATTTTCGTCCGATTCAAGGTAAATGGTGCTCCAACGTCCCTAAATATCTTTCGATTTGCACGAAATTTGGCATAGCGCACTGAAATAAGTTAAGAATGATGTGTGCTAAGTTTAGATATAAATATATTTCTCATATATATTTTCGTCCGATTTTAAGAAATCCTCGCCTTATATAGGCCTTGAAAATATATTTTTTAAAAAATCTACGCCTTATATAGGCCTTGAAAATATATTTTTTAAAAAATCCACGCCTTATATAGGCCTTGAAAAAATATTCTTTAAAAAATCCACGCCTAAGCCTCATATAGGCCTTGAAAAAATATTCTTTAAAAAATCCACGCCTAAGCCTCATATAGGCCTTGAAAAAATATTCTTTAAAAAATCCACGCCTAAGCCTCATATAGGCCTTGAAAAAATATTCTTTAAAAAATCCACGCCTTAGCTTCATGTAGGCCTTGAAAAAATATTCTTTAAAAAATCCACGCCTAAGCCTCATGTAGGCCTTGAAAAAATATTCTTTAAAAAATACACGCCTTATATCGGCCTTGAAAAAATATTGTTTAAAAAATCCACCCAGTTCTTAGATGCTGGAAAAAATATTTTTAAAAAATCCTACCCTTCCCATTTTTTAAATTAAAAAATCGTATTTTTTATTTTCGTTTTTTATATTTTCTGTTTTATTTTTATTATATTGTAAATTAGTATTTTTTGAAAAAATATTCTTTAAAAAATCCACGCCTTATATCGGCCTTGAAAAAATATTGTTTAAAAAATCCACCCAGTTCTTAGATGCTGGAAAAAATATTTTTAAAAAATCCTACCCCTCCCATTTTTTAAATTAAAAAATCGTATTTTTTATTTTCGTTTTTTATATTTTCTGTTTTATTTTTATTATATTGTAAATTAGTATTTTTATATATATTTATATATCAGTTTATAAATAATTTATTATTTACACAAGAAAAAAGAAACAAAAAAATATTTAAATTACAAATATTGCTCTGTCGTTGTTGTGTTCTGTTTTTTTTTTGTTTCAAAAAATTAAACAAAAAAATAATATTACATTATTATAAAAAAAATATAAAGAAATGCTGTTCTAAAACTTGACTTATGATATATAACATAAATAATAAAAAATAATAATAATAATGCCAATAATTATTGTGTTTTTTTTTGTATAAGAAAAATTCATGCGAGTAGAGTATAATAATAGGTGTGTTTTTGTGTGATATGGGATTTTAAAAAGAAAAATTCTGATGCCGTTGATGGCACTCTAATAAAATATGTTTTTTTATTTTCTTATAAAAAAAATTTGGAATTTTTTGCAAAGTATTTTTTTTATGAATAAATCGATTTAGCTTAAAATCCAGTTTCCGGAGACCTTGGTAGTAGGTTGCCCACCTCTGGATGTATTATAAATTAAACCAAGTTATTCATAAGTAATTAAAACAAAACAATTATTTTTTTTGAAATTTTTGAAAAAATGCCTTGAAGCTTTTTAAGTCTAGCCAAGCTTTTTTTGGGGAAGCTTTTTTTGGAAAGAGATTTCATTATGTTTTGCTAATGTTTTATCCGAAAGCTTTATAATTTACAAAGCTATAGAAGTCAAACATTAACGTTTTGCATTCTCCTTGAAGCTTTTGCAAACTTTCAAAGCTTATTTATGATACTGCTGCTGCTTCTTCTTCTTCTTCTAAAAAACTTAATAACTAATTCGTTTATTGACTTTAGCATATTTTTTGGGGTAATTGTTTCTTGTTGTGCTTTTTTCATCTTTTTTTTTTTGGGATAGTTGGAAATAATTGTTGTTGTTGCTTAAAAATCTAACAAAAATTATAAAATTAACCTTAAAATAATAATTTTTATTAATTATGATTCGTTGTTTTTTTGTTTGTTCTGCATTTTATGTATTCTTAGTTTGTGAATATTGCATCCCGTTTGTAATATGTTGTTGTTGGTTTTTTGTTGTATTATTGCTCTACATTGATGGTAATGATCATAGCTGGTCAATAATGTCCTCCACTGTGTCGATGATGATCCCGTCTACCCGCCGAGTGGTCGCGATATTCACCATTGCGTGAAGAACCGTTTTTGTGGTGATGATGATGGTGACGTTTCTTTTCTAAGTGAAAGGGGGTAAGGGAAAGTCTTTATTAGTTTCAAAAGGTACGCCAGAACAATAACAACAAATATTTTTGAAAACGAAAAAAAAATAATTTTTATTTTACCAAAATTCACATTACCTTTTAGACAGACATCGGAAACGACCATTTCGGAATTATCACGCATACCATAATTGTCACGTCCCACGCTAAAAAAATACAAAAAAAAAATGACATTTTATTTATTTTTCTGAGAAAAGTTCCCTAAGCTATTTATTTACCGATCCAAATTGTCCCTGGACCTTTGCATGTTATCTCTTAAATTATCTCTGGATCGGGTCATGGCTGGCGGATCTAAAGTCTCTTTGCGACGCAGGGCATTGTGTGAACTATTTTTGGAGGCCGATTCGTGTAGGTTTTCCCAGGCTTGACGGTAATATCTGGAAGTGAAAAAAAATAAAATTAAAATCGGATTAAAATATATGTGGGAGCTATATCGAAATCTGAACCGATTTTTACGAAACTTAACACACATCATTCTATACTTAATTAAGAACGCTATGCCAAATTTCCTGCAAATCGAAAGATATTTAGGGACTTTGGCGCACAATTTACATTAAATCGGAAGAAAATATATATGAGAGCTATATCTAAATCTGCACCGATTTTCACGAAATTTAACACACACCAGTACGCTATGCCAACTTTCGGGCGTATCGAATGTTATATAGGGACTTTGGTGCGCCATTTACATAAAATCCGATGAAAATATATATGGGAGCTATATCTAAATCTGAATCGATTTCTGTTCCGCCTGCGGGGAGCAGAGCTGAATGCTAACGGACGCGTACACAGGTTGTGGATAGTGGGAAGCCCAAAACTATTCATTGGGTAGCTGTGAATGAACAAACAAACAGTCGCGGACAATCAGCAGGCTCAGGGGGAGAGTGTCGGAGGAAATGACCGAGTGCCTATGATCCCTGGGCCTGGGTTTTTAAAGTGTCCCCCCTAACGCTGGGGTGCCATGCGACCTCGTGCCTATCAGCGTTCTAGGGTTTGCAGTCAGGGTCCCGACTGTATTAGAACGGAGCCTTGTTGATACCGGGGCGTCTCAACAAGCTTATTCAGGCTTAGATGCCAAGTCCTTGCCATGGTAAGAGGCTATGCCGTGGTCGACCTAAATCCCTCACTTACAGCCTATCAGCGTTCTACGGTTTGCAGTCAGGGTCCCGACTGTATTAGAACGGAGCCTTGTTGATACCTGGGCGCCTTAACAAGCTTATTCAGGCTTAGATACCAGGTCCTTGCCATGGTAAGAGGCTATGCCATGGTCGACCTCAATCCCTCACTTACAGCACTTTCTATGGAGCCGAATTTTAATATCCCGCCCCACAAAAATAATTTATGCGATTATTCGACTGATGATGGTGTGGCTGCCTCAGTCTCGAACTTTATAAGGCCAGATAAGTGTTGACGACCCAAGTTACCCCCCTGGACCTCTCTTTTGCCTCTTGTCCCACTCTCGACGACGTTAAGGAAAGCCTGGAGAGGCAGTCGGATATCTCCTCAAAATTTTTTGGAAAACCGGCTCCTTCCGCCTTAGTCAGGAGAGCATCCCGAATCAGCTCTGGGATGACTAGCCCTTGTCGGACGTGGAAGACATCAAGGAAACTACGGTGATTAGCACTACGGTGATAACCACAGTAGCGACCATGGAGTCTCCTTCGAAGCAAGGAGAGTCCTCCCAGTTGCTGACTAGGGAAGTAAACCCTGGCGAGGTTGAAGATCTGCACTCAATCTCCACGGCCTGTAGTGATGTCGCTAGACTACTCAGGAAATTGCTGTCGAAACGGATACTGGCACTGAAGAGAGCCCCTTCGATAAGATGGATGATTCATCAGTAACAGTATCTGTTAGGCAAGTCGATGCCAAGGAGATCGCTGCCAAAAAGATGTACTGGAGAGCAGTTAACTACTGTAACCGATACGTCGGACGGGACAGCGACTCCATCACGGGAAAGGAGTTCCTTTTTAAGAAGAGGAACCTCAAATTTATCCGGAAGTTCTCCAGGAACTATCCTGATAATATTGAGAGGGACTTCTTGCTTGATAGAATCCCCGGCCCAGTTCTAAGACCACCACGGTAGTCCCTTCATAGAAGGAGAAACCTATTGGTGGCCCTAGTACATCCAGGAAGCTGATGCCTGAGATTTCTAAGCCCTCAGCACCCATTTATATAAAATCCGACTAAAATATATAAAGGAGCTATATCTAAATCTGAAGCGATTTTTGAAATTTAACACACATCATGCTTGGTTTAATTTAGTACACTATGCGAAATACCAGGCAAATCGAACGATAAATAGTCCCTATTTATTTATATTGGTGCACCATTTACATAAAATCGGACGAAAACATATATGGGAGCTATATCTAAATCTGAACCGATTTTTACGAAACTTAACACACATCATTCTAGACATAATTCAGAACGCTAAAACTCTTCAATATTTCAAAAAAAAAAAAAAAAAATTTTTTTAAATTCCTAAATATCGAAAACTTTTTTTTTAATTCAAAATATCCCTTACCTATTGAGACCATTACGGGATCCCGATGTGGAGCTATCAAACGAGGCAACGGTATTACAATCGGGTGATGCTCTGTGGCGATAATGCTGAGTGGTACGATTTCTATAAAGAGAAGAAAATATGAGGAAGAGAAATATAGCGATTAATAAAAAAACGTATAAGAGTTTATTCGTATAAGAGTTAAAAAATGCAAATTATAAGAGACACAAAAAATAATATAATGGGTTACAACATTTAAATGTGACGAACAAAAATCTACACACTACAGGGTGATAATGAGCAAATAAAAAAAAATATAAATAAGAGAGAAAGGATAGAGAAGAGAGCGAGTTAGGAGAAAAAATAATAATAAAAAATAACACATACAAAATATCGAAAATAAAAATTCAACTTAAAATATAAACAAAATCATAATGGAGTTATTCACATATTTATATAAGAAGACGTGCAAAAAAAACAACCTTCCCCTCCCCAATTTTCCCCCTCTTAAGAACCAGAGACGTGCAACAGCAACAGGCGGCATTTGCAAATGGAATGGATGATGATTGTTTTCTTGTTCTGCCAGAGTATGACTTTTTGTTGTTGATTGTTGTATGAATAAATGGTATGAAGTTGTTGTTGTAGTTTTGTTTGTTTGTTGGTTTTTGGATTAATTGTTTTTTTTGTCTGGAATTGTTTGTTGGGTTATCACATTGTTGAGTAGAGAGTATAGTGTGTTTTGTGTAATAAAGAGAGAACAAAAAAAGAGAGTGGATATCGCTAAGGTAGTTACGAGTATAGCGAGAGAGCAAAGAAAAATCGGCTTACTTGTTGCAACTTAAAAATAGAGAGGCGACGACGATTCGAAGAATTTGCTTTGGATTTTTGTTGTTGTTTTTTTTGGTATTAGTTATGGCCTTCAAAATTCAATTATTTGTTCATTTTTGTGTTATGTTTTTTTTGGTTTTGGATTTTCGTATTCGATTTGAAATTTAAAAATTAAAAATAAAAATGCTATTCTCTGATCTTTGGCACTGTGTAGCGATCGGTGTATAAGTTTTCGTTGTGGCGTGGTGTGCACCTCTAATAGAGATCACTATCCATAATATGTTTATTACTGGCCGTACTCATACTTTCACAATTATCCTTCATATCCTTCCCGGATTTATTTTTCGTTTCATCCTGCTGACGTTGTTGTTGTTGCTGCTCACTGCTGAAAATACCAGCCCTTGTGGCATAACTACGACCACATGTACTCAATTCACGACGACCCCATTTCTGATCATCGAATGGCAATGCCAAAATGCCGGTATTCCATATGGAGGGTAACGGTTCCTTTTTACAACTTGAACTAACGCTATAGTGATCGTATAATCTTGACGAACGTACACTATCCATACCACATATATACGATTTTTTCGGATCGAATGTGGAGGCATTAAATTGGGTGGTCGCCGTCGTCATCATGGTCATGGGTGGTGGCATATAACGGAGACGCGATTTCGGAATGTAGTATGGTGGTAATGACGATGGTGGTGGAGGTGGATATGAGAAATGTTTTGCATTGTGCCGCCGTTTGCTGTTCGAGGTGCTAAACACACGGAGAGAGAGAGATAAGAGAAAGGTAAGATAGAGAGGAAGAGTAAGAAACAACATAGGGTAGGAGGTGGAGGCACAGGTGGACAATCAACAAAAATACAACAATTCGTGTGTGTGTGAGTGTTTGATTCGGAAACAATATTTTTCGAATATTAAAATATAAAAAATTCGAAAACAATTTTTTTCGAATAAAAAAAAATCGAAAACAATTTTTTCGGTATAGAAAAAAATTCGGAAACAATTTTTTTCGGCATAGAAAAATATTCGGAAACAATTTTTTTCTCGGCATAGAAAAAAATTCGGAAACATTTTTTTTCGAATAGAAAAAAATTCGAAAATAATTTTTTTCGAATAGAAAAAAATTCGAAAATATTATTTTTTCGAATAGAAAAAAATTCGAAAATAATTTTTTTCGCATAGAAAAAAATTCGGAAACAATTTTTTCGAATAGATAAAAATTCGAAAACAATTTTTTTACGAATAGAAAAATATTTGAAAACTATTTGTTTCGAATAGAAAAAAATTTGGAAACAATTTTTTCGGCATAGAAAAAAATGGAAACAATTTTTTTCGATATAGAAAAAAAATCGGCAACAATTTTTTCGATATAGAAAAAAATTCGGTAACAATTTTTTTCGATATAGAAAAAAATTCGGTAACAATTTTTTTCGATATAGAAAAAAATTCGGTAACAATTTTTTTCGATATAGAAAAAAATTCGGTAACAATTTTTTTCGATATAGAAAAAAATTCGGTAACAATTTTTTTCGGTATAGAAAAAAATTCGGTAACAATTTTTTTCGGATATAGAAAAAAAATCGTTAACAATTTTTTTCGATATAGAAAAAAATTCGGAAACAATTTTTTTCGAATAGAAAAAAATTCGAAAACAATTTTTTTACGATATAGAAAAAAATTTGAAAACAATTTTTTTCGATATAGAAAAAAAATCGGTAACAATTTTTTTTCGATATAGAAAAAAAATCGGTAACAATTTTTTTCGATATAGAAAAAAATTCGGTAACAATTTTTTTCGATATAGAAAAAAATTCGGTAACAATTTTTTTCGATATAGAAAAAAATTCGGTAACAATTTTTTTCGATATAGAAAAAAATTCGGTAACAATTTTTTTCGATATAGAAAAAAATTCGGTAACAATTTTTTTCGATATAGAAAAAAATTCGGTAACAATTTTTTTCGATATAGAAAAAAATTCGGTAACAATTTTTTTCGATATAGAAAAAAATTCGGTAACAATTTTTTTCGATATAGAAAAAAAATCGGTAACAATTTTTTTCGGTATAGAAAAAAAATCGGTAACAATTTTTTTCGGTATAGAAAAAATTCGGTAACAATTTTTTTCGGTATAGGAAAAATTCGGTAACAGTGAAAAATGTGCCCAAACTTCTCCAAATTACCGAATATTGGGGGCCTATACAAAAACGTGGACCGATATATTCAATTTTCGATATCAAGCATCTTAAAAATAGTAGCAACAATTAACGACAAATAGTCTTTCCCTACAGCTCCCTTCATTTTGCGAATTCTATTTTGGAAGAATTCTGGGAAAATACAATTTACATTCTCTTCGTAAACCCTCGGGACGAAAAATCTACAATATCTAAATTACGATCGCAAACAAAACGAAAGGCAGGCAGTGCTTTAGGAGTTAAAAAAATACAACAATAATAACAACCGGCGAAAAAATGAGTGCAAAATAAAAAAAATTAAATAAAGCTAAGCATGAATAAGCTTGAAGCAAGAGACAGAGAGAAAGAGAAGAGAAAAAAAATAAAAATTACACCTCAACCCCGAACTTACCTTCTGACCAATATGACAATCGTCGTAATGACCGCAGCCAAAAATACAAAACCACCAAAGGCACCCAAAGCAACAATGGCGCCCAAATTAAGTTTCGCTTCCTTGGTCTCTTTGTGATTGGTGTTCTCTACGGAGAAGGGCACATTGACATTCGGCGATTGATTGTGACGAATATTGACGCTATCGGCAATTTCATTATCCTGAGGATGAGCATTCTGTATGACATTTTGAATATTGCGGGTGGTGGTCTCAACACTCTGGGTGGTTGGAACATAAGGAGCACGAGTACGTGTGGGAGGACTGTAGTAGGTGGGTGGTCTTGAGGTGCTCGATGCTCCGGTTGTGGGTCTACTGGGTGTTTCATAGGCTGGTGTCGTCTTGGGTTTGTTGGGAGTGAGCACGGGGCGCACAGTACGTCTTGGTGGGAATTCTTCGCGCACCGTACCGGGCACAACATAGGTGACATCTTCATCGGAATCGGCTGTAGGGAGAATACAGGTTATTTAAGAAGTTCTAATGAGTTGAGGGATGAGGTGGGGTTCCAACTTACTTTCTCCATTGATTTCCACTTGTGGTCCTCCGCTGGTGGGTTGAGCCGTGCTACTGGTACTAGTTGTGCTTGTTGTGGGACGATAAGCCTTCTTGGTGGTAGTGCTGCTAATCTTGGGTCTATACGAAGTGGTTGAGGGTACTGTGGGCACCGCCGTGGTTGGTGGTGGTGGTGGAGGCAATGTTGTTGTGGGTTCCACCTTAATACAACGTGGCAAGGCACTGCTCCATTGTCCTGAAGATAGACAGGTAAGGGTGCTGGGTCCCTCCAAACGATGACCAGGTGGACAGGTAATTTCTGCCTTGCTGCCATAGTATGAGCCATTGGGTGCTGAGATGATGGTGTTGTAGTAGTTGCCGGGCAGGGTATCGCATTCAACAACTAGAAAAAGAGAGAGAGAGAAATTTAATATTTTTTCTAATTTGAAAAAAATCTCAACACCTACTTTCACATCTTGGTGGGGGGCCATTCCAGCGTTCATCAAAATCGCAGGTGAGCAGGGCTCGGCCCACCATTTCATAGCCTTCATCGCAGCGGTATTTAACCAAGCTCAAGTAGCCAACGGTGCCATTCAACAAGTCATAGCCACCATGGGGTATGGAGGCAGGGAGACCACATTCAATATCTGCAGAATAAAAAACCAACATTAAATTCTGGACCAAATCATCCCACCTCGGAAAACCATTTACTTACATTTACACACCGGTGGGAATTCATTATAGAAACCTGTTTCCAAACATGTCCTGGTCGAAGGACCAACCAACAAATGATTTGCATCACAGGTATACTTGATTTGTGCTCCAACCTCATAACCATTCAAGGCAATCATGGTGGAATTTGGAGGTTGTTCTGGCCTTCCACAAGTCTTTGGCTGATGTTGGCAAATGAAATTCAGATGTGTGTTACAATTCGTATCACTCCACAACCATCCCTTGGAACCATCAAATCTTGCACAATCCTCATCACCGCCTGGATGATTCCAAAACGATACGGCCACCTCTTCACCATTAACCCATTTCCAGGTGGAACGATCGACAGCATCACGTACAGCACCCATCCAATATTGAGAACTAACATCACTGCGATGTCTACGCCACAGCTCCCAGCTAATGAAACCTTGCAGGGCGGGATTACTTTCACTGATCAGGGTACCTCCGCGGGAACGACAGAATGCCAACGAATCCAAGAAGTTCAACGGCTGACGATTATAGAAGATGTAACATTTGCCATTGTACGAAGCCAAGGCACCTGGAGGTTGATCACGGAATGTGGGACAGCGTTCAATGGGCAAGGCCTGATCGGTATAGACGAAGGCTTCACAGATCGATAGCTGGTTGGGGGTTTTATTTTCCAAATGTACCGAAACAAAAGCACCAGGCATAGGGGGATTGCAGGGCAAGAAGAGGGGTTGTCCTTCCTCCAGTAGGCCAGTGAAACGATTGCAAATTGGATTGGTACCCAAATCGGGACGATTATTGCCGACTCGAACCACAATGGTGGCGGGTTTGTTGCCTGGAAAGAGAGAGAACAATAAAGAAGAGACAAATTAAAGAGAGAAAACAATTCGGAAACAAATTTTTTCGGTATAGAAAAAATTCGGAAAAAAATCTTTTTCGGTATAGAAAAAAATTCGGAAACCATTTTTTGGTATAGAAAAAATTCGGAAACCATTTTTTTCGGAATAGAAAAAAGTCCGACAATTTTTTCGGTATGGAAAAAATCGGAAACTAATTTTTTTGTATAGAAAAAAATTCGGAAACAATTTTTTTCGGTATAAAAAATTCGGAAACAAATTTTTTCGGTATAGAAAAATTCGGAATTTTTTTTTTCGGAACAGAAAAAAATAATGAAAACATTATTTTTCGGAATAGAAAAAAATAATGGAAACATTATTTTTTGGTATAGAAAAGAATTCGATAACATTTTTTTTCGGTATAGAAAAAATTCGAAAAATTTTATTTCGGTATAGAAAAAAATTCCGTAACAATTTTTTTCGGTATAGAAAAAAATTCCGTAACAATTTTTTTCGGTATAGAAAAAAATTCGGTAACAATTTTTTTCGGTATAGAAAAAAATTCGAAAACAATTTTTTTTCGGTATAGAAAAAATTCGTTAACAATTTTTTTCGGTATAGAAAAAAATTCGGTAACAATTTTTTTCGGTATGGAAAAAAATTCGGTAACAATTTTTTTGGTATAGAAAAAAAATTAGGAAACAATTTTTTCGGATTAGAAAAAAATTCGGAGACAATTTTTTTCGTATAGAAAAAAATTCGGAGACAATTTTTTTCCGTATAGCAAAATATTCGGAGACAATTTTTTCCGTATAGCAAAAAATTCGGAGACAATTTTTTTCAGTATAGAAAAAAATTCGGAGATATTTTTTTTCGGTATAAAAAAAAATTCGGAAAAAATTTTTTTCGGTATAGAAAAAAAATCGGAAACAATTTTTTCGGTATAGAAAAAAAAATCGGAAATTTGGAAATTTTTTTTCGAAATAGAAAAAAATTGGGAAATAATTTATTTGGAATGGAAGAAAATTCGGAAATAATTTTTTCGGAATAGAAATAATTTGGTAATATTTTTTTCGGAATAGAAAAAATTTTTTTTTCCTGTATAGAAAAAAATTCGGTAACAATTTTGTGTTATAAGAAAAAAATCGAAAACAATGTTTTTTGTTATAGAAAAAAATGGGAATATTCGGAATATTTTTTGAGCCACCCCTCTTCAGGTCACTTCTTAGTTCAACTTTCCTAACTATTTTTTTTTGGTTGTTTAACCACTAAGTTTTTTTTGACTGGTTAGAAATTACCCATTAATGACTATTAGGCAATATGGGAATGTAAAAGTCCAGCAGTAACAACCACGAAGCTCTAAAAGTGATTGCATTGATTGCACATCAACGCCATCAGACAGCCGCAACAGCGGCGGAATCATCGCATCATTATGACCATGTTTTTCTTGTGGTTGGTCATAATCGTTCAGCTGCCTGCCTCATCATAGGCTTGGCCAGGCCACTATTACAAAGTGTGGGTACTTGGTCATTATCAAGCGGCTTTACAAGTTTGAGACTCTGTGGCCCAGAGAGGGGTAGCTGCGGCGGAGTATTGCATCGAAAAACTAAAACTTCGTGTGAGTACAGATTTCAGTGAAAGTAATCATAAATTGTACAACGGAGGTTGGTTGCGCAAAAACACACACACAAAAATCTGGTATTTTTTCCCAAGACAACAACAACGAAAGACAGAAAACCAACAACACACAAAAAATCGGTGATGAGTTCAGATGCGGCGGCAGCTACCACCAGCACCACACCATTCACCGTTTGGTGGGGTTGGATGAATTGCCTGGCTTGCTGGCTGCTTGTTTGAAGTTGGGCAAACATCATTACTTTTTTTGGGTCCTCAGGTTTTTTGTGGTTGTTGTTATTGTTCATCGGATCGGAAGGTAAACAATGTTGTTGTTATTTGTGTGACTTTGCTGTTTTTTTTTGAAACTCACATAACACTTTTGTTAAATCGCAGACCAAGCCAAAGTGAAAGCATGTGAGCCACATCAGAAAAGCTTAGATCTTGAGCATTGCAGAGAGATGGGTTTGATGTCGTTGTTGGTGGTGGGGGTTTTGATTGTTTTGCCATTTTTTTGGCGCTAAGAAAAAAAGTGGCTGGACTAAGAGACCTATCAATTTCCAAAGAAAAAAAAACTTGGTAATGGTGTTACAATAAAAGGACAGGTTTTTTTATGGGGGACCACAAAAAAATTAGATACAATTTTTCTTCTCTCCCTCTCGCTCTCTCTGACCATAATCTGGTAATGGCTGCCGAACATCACCCACTGATGCAACAACAACCAACCTCCAGCTACTGTTAACTAACATTGTTTTCCTTCAAGACAGTTAGTTGTTATTTATTGGCTGGTTATGGGTATTGGTCTAGGCAACACATATGCCAGCCAGGTTATTGAACTCCTCCACACTCACACACTCTCCACACACACACCTACTCATATAGTAATTTGTATTTTTTCCTTCATACTTACCACAACACGATTTGCCAAAGTCCAAACGCACCAATTGCACCATATAGGGTTCCAATAAATTTACATACCACCATGGCGAACGTTCCGCTTTGGTCAGCGAACATGTTTCGGGTGTGAAAAAGGCCGATGTGGAACCGTCAATGGCTTTTTGGGGAGCACCGGAACCTTCGGTGGAAATTTGCATGGGTGCCTTGCCAGCGGCCACATTTAGAACTGAAAAAAGAAAAAAAAAAATATTATTAATAAACTAATGAGTAGATAAGGGGGAGGGGGAACTAATAAAATGCACACATACACATACAAATATTATTTAATTAAAATAATAGGTAATATACTTAAATAAAATAATATACATATTACTTAAATTAATCACAATATTTGCCTAAGGTGTATGGCCTTTCTGAATCATTTAAAGGAGGAAAATGTAATGATTCGATCGATACGAGGAGCGAATATCGATTCGGACCATTACCTTGTGGCAGCTTAGGTTCGCACCCGTCTTAATGTAGCAGCAAAGGTGCGATCTAATGTAACATGGAAATTCGACGTCGAAAAGCTAAACACAACAGATAGCAAAGGCCTATTCCGCTAAACTTACCCACCTGCTTGACGAAAGCACTTCTTGTCCCGATAATAGTATAGAAGCACAATGGCAAAGAATTACCCACTCCCTACAAACTGCAGCAAAAGCAACACTTGGGTACCAAAAAACCATCACCAAAAAACCTATGGTACGATCAGTAGAGTCGTAATGCTACTGATGTGAAAAACGCAGCGTATAGGGCAATCCTGCAGACAGTAGCAACGCGCAATGTGATGGAAAATTATCGGGAGAAAAGGAGAGAGGAGAAACATATTTTCAGAAAAATGAAGGAAGTCAAGAAAAAAGTTAGCGTGAGCAAATCGAGATGTACAGGTGTCAGAATGAAGTCTGAAAATTCTACCAACGGGTAAAACACCATACCGAAGGCTTTGGTGCAGGCACATCCTCCTGTAGAGATGAAGAAGGAAACCGGGTGACAGATACAGACAGCGTGCTGAGGATCTGGAAGGAACATTTAGAAAAACTTCTGGTATCAAATAGTAACAGTGAAGATGATCAGATGAATCAGAGATAATGGTATAGAGTGTATACCACCTAGCCAAGATGAGGTCAGAATAGCAATCAATCGGCCGAAGAATAATAAAGCAGCAGGTGCCGATGGCTTACAAGCCGAACTATTCAAGACTGGTGGCCAGATGCTGGTAAGGAGCATGCACCACATGATTAGCACAATTTGGCTAGAAGAATCCTGTGTCCTTGCACAAAAAAAAGAGACAAGACGATATGTTCCAACTATAGAGGAATAAGTCTCCTTCCCATCGCATATAAAGTGCTATCCATCGAGCTGTGTGAACGACTGAAGCCAATGGTCAATGACATTATTGGACCATACCAATGCGGCTTCAGACCTGGCAAATCCACCATTGACCAGATTTTCACTCTGCGCCAAATCGTGGAAAAGAACCACGAAAAACACGTCGACACATTCCAGCTATTCGTCGACTGTAAAGCCACATTCGACAGTCCTATCCGTTCAGAGGTGCATTCCTGCAAAATTAATTCAGATATGCAGGATAACTTTAACAGACACAAGATCGGCAGTTAAAGTCGGAAAGGAGCCCTTTTCGGAGCCTTTTTAATTCCGAACCTGGATTCAGACAAGGTGATAATTTGTCGTGTGACCTTTTTTACATCCTGCTGGAAAAGGTCAAAGTGAACAGAAATGACACTCTGTACACCAAACAACACATGTTACTCGCCTACGCCGATGACATCGATATAATGGGTCGAACACTGAGAACGGTAACAGCCACCTTTGAACAAATTGATAGTGGAAGTGATGCAAATGTGGTATAGGTTGATAATGTGGTATAGTCACTTTTTTTGTAAACTGAAAATTTTAGAATAACTAAATCATGTTCTATAGTTTGCTGTTCTCAAAAAAATAAGATAGCAATGACCTGTTTAATTTATTTAAATCACGTTGAGAATCAGTACCAAAAATAAAATTTTTCATGAAATTGACTTTTTTTCGGTTGAAGTTTAAAAATAATTTTTTGTTTTACGGATGTACTTTAATCGTTATTACTAAAGCATTAAAATAATCAGTATGAACTAAAAATCAAATAATATGCGCGATTGCACCACATAATCACCAATTTGGAAAAAAAACTAGACATTTCTTCAGTAAACACAAGTGTAGGTAATGTGGTATACCTTGATTCTGCATGAAAAAAGGCCAGCACTAGACAAAATCTCATTACTATGTGAAACATTTGTACTCTACGAGAGTCTACCATGAATCACAAGGATGAAAAACAAAGGCTATGAGTTTTAACAACTTCACCATACAAAAATTAAATATTGACATGTGTAGACATTATTATATAAAAAAAATGTAAGTTCCACTCAACGTATCCGTTAAAAATCTTAACAGACATAAATCTCGAGCTAATTCGCATTCATTAAAAACAATAAATTCTATAATATATAAATTGGAAGTGAAAACTATACTATACCACATTAACATCATGTGGTATACCACATTACCTGCACTTTTTTTAAAATCGATTTTTATGGAATTTCTAATATTTTCTCAAATATCTCTCAAATTGTTAGAATAATATTATTTTCAAATAGATACATGGAAAGACAACACATGTAGCATGTTAAGTGCAAAATTTCAATTTAATCGGATAAAAAATAAAAATTTGGCAATCTAAAAACAAATGGGTATACCACATTTGCATCACCTCCTATAAGGCGTCTGCCAAAGTGGGTCTGGCAGTAAACGGCGAGAAGACCAAGCCGATGGTATCAACGCGCAAGACGTCCAGTAGACTCGGACCAACTGTGGAACTTGAAAACTACAGCTTCGAGGTAGTCAAAGATTTTATAAACCGCTTGGTACCGCCATAAATAAAACGTATGACATCAGTTTTGAAATTCGGAGAAGGATAGTGATGGCCAACCGATGTTACTATGGTCTGAGCAAACAACTCAAAAACAAGGCCACAAAACGCTGATACTACCAGTGATGCTATATGTATCTGAAGCATGGGTATTTACGCAAGCAGATGAGACAGCTCTTGGAGTGTTTGAGAGAGAAAAATTCTCCGAAAGATCTATGGGTCGATCTGCGTTGACGGTGAATATCGCCCTCGAATGAACCATGAGTTGTATTAGCTATTCTCGGACATTGACATTGTTAGGCGTATTGAGGTGCAGCGGCGACTACGTTGTCTAGGTAATGTTGTCAGAATGGATGAAGATGCCCCAGCCCAGAAGGCATATAAAAGCGTAGCAGCTGATGGAGATCAAGTCGAAGACAACATTGCCGAAAATGGTTTTTCAAATTGGAAAGGACCGACGCAGACCTGGAAATCTTTTCTAAGGTCGGTTTATGGAACGAAAGTTCTGTCACAAAAAAAGTTCTGTAGAAGAAAATTTAACTCGAATTATTGGGTATTTTAAATATTGTAGAGAGAGTCGATAACATTGTTCGGACAAAATGACCTCTGAAAATTGCTCTTTATATCTCTCTCACACATAATGCATCAATTATGAAGTTGTATGCCTCAAATTGGCGCCCAACGTGTATAACAGTTTTTAATGATATTGATGACTTTATTGTTTGCTTTAAAGGAGAAATTGCGTCTACAAGGACTTTGAAAAAATATTTCTTACTTGAAAAATTTGTTACAAAAATCTCTATTTAATTCCGGGACAAATCGAAGATGACAAAGGTTTATGTCTGTAAATGGTACTTCAAATTTAGACAAACATTTGTTAAAGGTTTCTGGGATAACATATTTTTAGATAACACATTTCGGTTGGATGCATCGGAGAGAGACGATAACATTGTTCGGACAAAATGCTCTTCGAAGATTACTCTTTATATATCTCACACACATTATGTATCAATATTAATGTTTTGTGTCTCAAATTGGCGCCCAACGTAAAAAATACATTTTTAAGTAAATTTTTTATGACTTTTGATTGTAATTTATTTTGAAGAAAAAATATCGCCTACAAATAGGTGATGGATGTAATAGCATTACTTGGAGAAATTGGCGCCCAACATAAAAACCTTTTTTAAAGGTTTCTGGCATAACATGTTTTTAGAAAAAAATTTTAATCGCTATATTTTTTGACGGAGAAAATTCGCCTGCAAGATAATGGCGTTTCTTAAACATCAGATTTCACATTCTTTATTTAATTTCTATTTTTTTTTCGAATTTTATTACAAGTCATAAAGCCGATGTAATTTTCAAACCTAGCCGGATATGAGATTTAAATCAAACCAAATTACATCCTCCATAACAGTTGAATCATGATATAAATCATTTGGGAGTAGTTCAGAATTTTTACCACCGCCCATTACACAAAAGAGGTAGGAAGGCAGGCAAAACTTTAAAAAAGTGCTTCCGAATAAAAAGATGATTCTTTGATGATCACCCATTAAGAAAACAGGTGGAAGTGGGGAGAGAATGAATAAATTGCAGGGGGGAAAAAATACTACGCGGCATATTTTCTGTGGCCACGTGATGTCGGTAATAACTAAATAATAATAAAACCCTGAAATAATTTCAATTTTTCTTCTCCCCTGCTACAGTACTAAGCTTGTGTAGGGTTGACAATGCCGATGTTCAAATTTTTTAAGGTAAATTTTGGAAATTTATACTGTAATTTTTGTTAGACTCTTCAATGTAAAAAATCTATGTTTTATAGGCGGTTCTAATTTTTTTTCTATTTTTCTGAAATCCCAATCCGACATCCCTAATCCACAATTTCTGCAGAACCTAGCAATTGCTAACCTAAGAAAAACTAATAACAATAATAAAAACCCCAAGCTGGGTTCAAACAATACCACTTGTTGCCTTAATCAGCCAACAGAAAAACAAGAATATCGCAAAAAATCTAGAATTAAACAACAACAATAACAAAAAGCCGTCTTCAAAACCACCAAAGGTGGTAATAAAATAATGGCATGGTTCTTCTACCTATTCTATCTTATCTGTTTGGTATAATAAAACAATTCTTAGTGCCACCACATGTGGCGTTCTTCAGCCCAACTGTGGTGCAGCTGATGATGATCAGCAGCCGTAAAAGCTTCCTTCCACTGATTGTGTGTTACAGTTTCGCAAACAGAGGTGTCCGGGACGGACAG